GGGAAGCTTTGGAAGAGTTTACTCGACCTCGGTTGAGTAGCTGTGTAAACTCTTCCAAAGCTTCCCTTTCCAATGAGCTCCTGAAGAATGTAAGGTGGCACATCTTTCCCAGCTTTGATGCACTCATCCTCGACGATGGCTTGCATCTTCTTCGCATCCTCCAAGGCCTTCTGCTTCGTGACCGAGAAATCCGGCCCACGAACTTGAAGGGTCGCCATATTTGCAGGTGACTTCTGTGAAGCTGATCGTACGCTCAGAACGTGTATGCTGAAACTGAGTTAGTATTGAGTAGTCTGAGATATCAGATACAAAAAAGTTCAAAGTATTGATGCAGATAAGTATATTGCGTCAGTCAGAGTCAGATATATCACTAGATATACTTGCCTCGCCTCATCAGGAGGCACATCTCTTCTCCAGCCCTCAATCCATCCCGGGTCGGGACGGGCTGGGGCCACCCAATGATGGGGGATTGGAAGCGCCGGCTGAGGTATCGCTTCCACGGGGTAGGGACCGCCATCTGAAGAGATCATGGCCCTTTCCGAGAGAGCTGTTTCCCGCCTGAAGACCTCGCGTTCCCTGCGCCGTAGTCGCCAATAGCGGTCCATTGTATTGGATTGTTGTGTGACAAGGGGAAGAGAAAAGGAGTTCAACTTACTGGAGGCTTTGATGAGGTTTCAAGAGGGTTGTTGCCTTGTGCTTGAGCTCTTCAGTCACCTTGATGAGAACGCTTTGCGCCTAAGAGACAACGAGGTGTGAGAGTGTGATTAGAGATCACCTCAGGAGACGAGGCTCCCCACCACCACAGCAGCCCTTTGTCAAGCCGGATAATCTCTTCACTATCAGACCCTAAATCAAGTTGATGATAGTGCCTCTCTTCATGACCTCCCTTTGTGAGTGGCGATGGCCTCGATGCTCCGATTGTTTCGACGTGCAATGTGGTACTCAGAGGAGTGATGAAGATGAAGCATCAAAGATGTGTGCAGGTCCCCCGAATCTCAGAATGGCGCTAAAACTTTAGCCGATCGTGGCTTGACCAATTAGGGGGGGATCCGCCTGACAACAGTAAAACAGTGGGGGAAGCCCCTGTGTCTCCCCTCCATCAGGCTACATGTGGCGCCCTGTCCCATACACCAACACTGCAATATGGCGGTCGGTTCTGTCCCTGAAGGATCCAACGGAGTGCGATTTATATGTAGGGTTTTGAGGTAAGCAGTATATATAATTATATCTACGCAGCCGCCCCATTACTCGGTTTATTTTCGACAATATCTTTTAGTCTACCCAGCATCTTTGCATGAATCTTCTGCCATCCGTTCTCACATTGAGACTTGACGACGCCGACCAGCAATCGAGAGCAGTGCATGGAGACATCCTCGACCAGCTCAAGCTTGTCATCATCGCCCGTCTTGATCTCCCAGATGGTGTCCATGACAATAGATAACGGGCTCTTGATGCGCACAAACACCCCAACCTCAATGTTTGTGAACTCATAGTGGCTGATGACGTTGGAGTCCCAGAGGCCAGCCGGGAGTGTGTTGACCACATCCGTGACTTTGTAAGAAGTTGTTCCCCCCAGAGCCTTCAGAGTGTCTGGGATGTTCGCCTCCACATCTGCGGCTACCAGCTCATATTTAGCCATATGGGGATCACAGTGCAGGAAAAACTCGTAGTCCTGCAGCATCGCGATTCCCTGTTCCCTCGTTGAGCCTTCCGGCAGTTTTGAGCTGTGGCAGACATGAGCGGTTGTGTTGAAGACTGTGAGGTGGTTAGCCCATGGCCATGCCAGCCTCCAAATATACTAACAAGACATTGTCGCAATTGGTTATTGAGCAGAGAGGAAGCAAATGTGACATATGAATATTAGAGGCGGTAGTTTGATTGAGGAAAACCCGAAAGTCTAATGCCTGTATATGTATCTGTATCTATCTTTTCACCGTCTTGGAGGGTTGAGGTTGTTTGGTATGTATGAGACACTGTCTGTATCATCGAGCCGGAGAGCTGTTGGTAACATTGTCTTAGCGCCGCTCTTGGGACCCAAGTTAGCGAGATCTTCACAGCACCGCCTCAATTGCTGGTTCGTCCCGCCTATAGCTTCCGAAGGGCCTATCAGAATCTACATTGACTTCGAATGCACAACGACTGCGTTTAGCACCGCGTATAAAATCGTGTGTTGAGAGATGATGAATGTATGTTAGATAACCTCTATTTATCGATTTGACCTCATCGCTTGATTTATCTTGATGACACCATTTTGACGTTGATAAATACAGTCGCTTTTGGAGCTTGCCTAGGTACCTATGCTTGTGTACAAACTCGTACTCTTCTATGGACACTACAATCAGGTCCAGTAATTACATGAGACTGCTCCGGCCACCAACTTCCATACTACCCTGGCCGTCTCGCATCTCTCCGCTCCTGCCGACTACAAACTCGCGATATATTCTTTCAAGCCGCCTGCGCTCCTCCGTGCTGATACTCGCCCGGGTATTATCAAGAGCTTTTACGAGGTGCGTCCATCCGATAAGGACTTCCTTGTGCTGGTCTTTCTCCGACTTGCCGTCAACAAGGTCAGTCCCTGCCACATGACCCTTCTGCTGCTTCACGCGCCGCCGCGCCAGCTTGATGCTCTCGAGCTTCGCCGCAATTGAAGCCTGCTCAGCGAGCTCGGATGACCTGGTCGTACCCGACTGAGCTCGACGCTCGGCCTCTTCCACAGCCTCCTGCTGTCCGTACCGAAACTGCACAAAGTTGCGTGCGGAACTGTTCACGGGCTTCTTCGTATTACTCTTGCTGCCCACGTGTCGACCTCCTTGGGAGGCGGGTTCATGCTCTCGGTCGCCTAAGACATCATGGATTGCCTCAAGCTGTGCATTCGAGACCAAGGCCTGCAGGTCAGCTCCTGTGAAGCCCTCCGTCAGCCCAGCAAGCTCCGTCAGATAGTGTTCTGAATTCAGCACTTCGTCCCCAAGCTTGACTTTCTTGGCTATCGCCTTGATAATATCTAAGCGTTCAAGTTGGTCAGGAAAATCGCAGAGGATCGACTTGTCAAGACGACCGGGTCGGAGGAGCGCGGGATCAATCAGGTCAGGTCGTGATGTCGCAGCGAGGACGTATACTCCGGACAGTCCCTCGGCACCATCCATCTGAGTCAACAGCTGGTTGACTACACGATCCGTTACACCGGTAGAGTCATGCCCACGCTTTGGCGCAATTGAGTCAAACTCATCGAAGAATAGCACACACGGTTTAGCGGCTTGTGCCCGCTCAAACAGGTCCCTGACACTCTTCTCAGAAGCACCGATGTACTTGTTCAGGATCTCAGGGCCCTTGACACTGATGAAATTTAGGCCACATTCTCCAGCAACAGCACTGGCTAACAGAGTCTTTCCGCATCCTGGATATCCGTACAAAAGCAGGCCAGACCGCAGCCTCAGGGGGCACTGCGCAAAAATTGGCGCATACTTCGTTGGATATTGCAATGTTTCTAGTAAAATGCGACGAGTCTCTGTGAGACCACCGATCGAGTCGAATGTTGTGGTAGAGCTCTGCAAAGACACATTTCGTAGGGAAGCAGGCGTGAAACCCTTCAGTGCATTTTCGAAATCAACCCGACCCAGAAGAACTGAGCCCTTGTCAATATCTGTAGACGTGTCCTTGAATGATCTCATGAGCGCTTCGTTTCGAGCCCTTGAGATAAGCAAGCTTAAATCCCCGGGCATGTAGCCATCAGTCTGTCCGGCAATATCTAGAAGATCGAGATCATCTTCAATGATAAAGCCACTACGATCTGGAGAGCTATGCTTTGCGGGTGAGCTTGGCCCATCCATCCAAGCATTGCCCTCGTCGCCCATAGCACTGCCATCAGCTGTCGTCGGGCGGCTGTTCTCGCTTTGGGAGATGCCGTCTGACTCAAAGGTGGCAGCGTTTTGTCGAGTGATGGCCTCCATAATCCTTCTGCGCGCGTCTTTGTCAGGGGCTTTGAGTGACACGATCTCACGGACAACATGGCCCCCTACAATAACATTGTGGAGCGATTCTTTGCCTTGGGCTGTGGCTAGCAGTACAACGTTGCTCCCCTGGCCGCAGTATTGCCTGACCATTGCGCAAATAGCTTCGCTGACTTGCCTGCTGCGACCGTTCTCGTTTCCAACCTGGAGTTCTTGCTCGGCCGGACATAGCCGATCTAGATCATCCAGAATAACAACCGATTTGCCGCCAAGTCGAGCGCCCCAACTAGCGCTCATAAATATACGGTTGAGTGTCTCCTTAATGGTTGCTATTCTGCTTTCATCATTGACTAGAGATCTGCAGGCAAAGTATGTTGTATGAAAGAGCTGATCTGTCCTCAACGTCTCGGCTATCGATTGTGCGACGGACGTTTTGCCAGCTCCCTGTGCGCCCGTAATCAAGACTGATGAGAGGTGTGATAGGTGTGATCGCAACTCATCTAGCAAAGAGTCGATACCTACCAGACTGGCATCAGGCTTGAGCGAAGTCCCAGACGGATCTGACTCTGCCAGCCATGATGGCCGAGGAATGGGCGCCTGTACCTCAATAGGTACTTGCCACTCAGATCCCAAGATCCAATTGGCAAAGTCCTTGCCGGACCCTTGAGAGGGCGGTGCAGGATGAAACTTGACGAGACCCCCTATCCACCCAGATGGCGGTTCAAGCCCGTCATAAACACCTAGGACCAAGCCGTCTGTTATAGGACCGTCTAGGAGACCTTTGTCGTGCTTGCCAGCATAAATATGCTTAATTCTTTTCGTGGCCTCTTCACGCTCGGCTTTGGACTCTCCGCCGAATTTGATGCCTGCCGAGGACTGAGAGCTTCCAGTCATGAAAGGGTAGATCTTCAAGTGCTGAACGGATGGTTTGCTCTCGATTTGGGAGTCTCCCTCTGTCTTCAAAATAGACTTTCGGGGTACTGGTTGTGGCGCAAGCTCAATTTTGACGACACCTCCGACCAAGCCTTCGCATCCAAAAGTACCGCATAATGGAGATGACAGCGCCACCGTCTGACCATTAGGCGGATCGTCCCATGGACACAGTTGAGCGACCACTCGTGCAGGTGCTTTTGTCGCGTCGGGAGAGGGTTGCGGCTCCTGTTGGCCTTGGGGTCCAGTACTTGACTGCAAGCTCACGGGTCGCAATAGGCTCACACTGACCCATTTCTGGCCCCTGAACTCCTTGGAGATCAGAAGTGTGCGGTCGATCCAGACGGCAAGCTCTTGCGTAGCTATGTCACCATCAAACCAGTCTGCGCATACTTTCCGGTCGATACCTCGAAGGAACAAGGCTGGTTTTCGTTCTTCGCGCGCACTTTTCCGTCTTACCGTGCTTGCTGAACTTCTGCCACTCTTCTTCGATGTGCTTGCGACACTCCTGTTTTCTCTACTACTCCGTGCAGGTTTGGACCGGGTCTTGGGCGCAACAATGACTTCTGCATCTGGCGCAATCTTCGCAAATGGAACGTCGGACGGTAAAGGGGGATCGAGAGATAGGATCTTGATGTTCGCTGTAGAGGTTGGCGACAAGTGGAGTGTCAGCGGATGCGGACTATAGGTGATGCCCGGCGCGGGAGAGTAGGCCGGGTTCGGCAGGGCACGAATCTGAGATAGGAGATTTAGCTCGAGGAAGGTCGCATGTAGTTCAATGATCTCCCAATCTTCCGGTGTAAGAGGCTCAATGTTGACAGTATGCGCCATCACCGGATCCGCATGTATAGTCGCAGTAACTTTCTGCCCATCATGTAGACCAAGAGTATGCGCAAGAGTCGGATCAATTTCCACCAAAGCAATCTCTTGATCGCGAGAGCCAGAGCCGCGTAGACTGCCATTTATTCCATCTCTTCCCACGACAGGCGCAAGCTTTCTTTTGCTGGGCATACCGGTCCAACCCACGTAGACCGACTTCTGGGAAGATGCGCCGCCAGACTGGCCCGAGGCGTTTGCCGGAGTAGCGGCGCGGTAGTTGAGCTCGACGATAACATTCTGGGCAGGCTGAAGACAGGATCAGAGACTTGAACAGCAACCAAGGTCATAGAATAGCTCACAGTGTTGACATTCACAAGCAAGGAAACCAGAGAAGCCGGCAGGTTGACTAAACAATTCTTGAGATGGACAAAGGATATCTCGGCGGCAGTAGACTGCGCGCCTTTCCTTGGGGCCATTGTGGACTGGTGTTAGAGAGTCCAAGCACCTCTGCACAAGAGCATGTCCTTTGTCTGGTAGATGGCGATGATGGATGCCGACGGCATTACACTCTCAACGGGCCGTCGTGTGCCGGTAAGCTTCTGGACAGTAGTGGCCGGCAGCTCTGGCGTATGCAGCCCCGGCTTTGGTTTGCATGTGCCTCGGCTTTCCAATGTGCGGAGTGGCGTGGGCGTCAGGCGTGTGTCAGCCAGCGCATTCTTTAGGTACCTGAGACCCTTAGACTACGCTAGCCCAAGTTTGTCATCGCTGGCTGTGGCTGGAGTCCAGTGGTCCAAGCTCCTGAGAAAGTCAATTAAACCCCCTGCCACTTCTTGGACGCGCGACGCGTCAAAAACGCGACCGGGGCCCCTTGCGCGAAGCCCAGCCTCCCCTCGACTCCATAACTTTTGACTGGCCCTTCTGCAGTCAATTTGTGCCAGTCTTCATACATACGCACACTGCTTCACTTCCACCACCATTAGTCGAGATCCCCTCATTGCGAAGCAGTTTCTCTTCTTCAGATCGCAACAATGGCGCTCCTACAGTGGAAGAAGCCGGTGGACTACGATGATCAGCAGGGTAAGAAGAGCGCAAGCATTGGCGTTGCCGCTGGGACTATTTCGTATGCTAACGGGCCATGATAGCCGCCCTCGAAGGGTTCCTGACAGGCTTCAAGACCTCGCCTGAGCAAGCTCTCGCTCATGCCCTTGGAGACATCAACATTGACGACGATGACCTGAGCGACGAGTATGACTTCATGGACGAGGATGAGGGCGCACAACAACGACGCCTACAAGAGAAGGCACGAAAGCGATTACCCCAGCACAAGTACAGAGATATGATGCAGAGGCTTGCAGATCGAAAGATCGACGAAGCCCTGATAGATCTAGATGATCTCGCAACTGTGCGCATTCCCCGTTCGCATATTTTCCAGGACGCATTGCTAACGGATAATTAGTATGCGCAGCAGACGAACGACGAGCTGAAGCTTGTCGACTCGATCGAGCACAACACCAAGCACTATGTCGAGATCATGGCAAGAGCAATTGATAAGCTCATGCCCGAGCCTAGTGCTGATGTCAAGTATGTTTACTCACTGACACTATTCGTCATCATGGCTTGGCTAATCATTACACAGCTTTAAAGACGACGTACTCGACGTTCTCATGGCGCGAAGAAAGCAAAGAAATCGCGAGATGGACCAAGCCTTCGAGTCTGGCAACATGTCCGCCCTTGAAGACAAATTCCCTCCCGAGCTCACAAGACGATACACTCTCGTCTTCAAGCCCAGAGCCTCCGGCCAAGACAGCCCTACCAAGGCACTGGCCGTCCGACAGGTCCGCGGCGACCACCTAGGTCACCTCATCACAGTCCGCGGTATTGCTACAAGAGTATCTGATGTCAAGCCTGTCGTGCAAGTCAGCGCTTATACTTGCGATCGTTGTGGTTCCGAGATCTTTCAGTCTGTCAATGACAAGCAGTTCGGCCCCCTGAGCGTCTGCCCGTCAGCAGAATGCAAAGCAAACCAGGCCAAGGGACAGCTGCACCCATCCTCAAGAGCTTCAAAGTTCTTGCCATTCCAAGAGGTCAAGATCCAGGAGCTTCCTGAGCAGGTGCCAATTGGTCAGATTCCCCGAAGCCTGACCATTATGTGCTACGGCAGTCTGGTGAGAAAGATCAACCCCGGTGATGTTGTTGACATCGCTGGTATCTTCCTACCCACTCCATACACCGGCTTCAAGGCCATGCGTGCTGGTCTTCTGACCGACACATATCTCGAGGCTCATCATATCCTTCAGCACAAGAAAGCGTACGCAGAAATGATTGTCGACCCACAACTAGCCCGCAGAATCGACCAGTACAGGACTTCTGGTCACGTTTATGAGTATCTTGCGAAGTCGATCGCTCCTGAGATCTACGGTCACTTAGATGTCAAGAAAGCTCTTCTCCTCTTGCTCGTTGGTGGTGTAAACAAGGAGATGGGCGACGGCATGAAGATTCGTGGTGACATCAACATCTGTCTGATGGGAGACCCCGGTGTTGCCAAGTCTCAGTTGTTGAAGTACATCTCCAAGGTCGCCCCGCGTGGTGTCTACACCTCTGGTCGTGGAAGCAGTGGTGTTGGTCTGACTGCAGCCGTGATGCGTGACCCGGTCACAGATGAGATGGTTCTTGAGGGCGGTGCTCTTGTATTGGCTGATAATGGTATCTGCTGTATCGATGAATTCGACAAGATGGACGACAATGACAGGACAGCCATCCACGAAGTTATGGAACAGCAGACAATCAGCATTTCCAAAGCTGGCATCTCCACAACCCTCAACGCTCGTACCTCCATCCTGGCTGCGGCTAACCCTATCTATGGCCGCTACAACCCACGCATCTCGCCTGTTGAGAACATTAACCTACCCGCTGCTCTTCTCTCTCGTTTCGATATCCTCTTCCTCCTCCTAGACACCCCGACCCGTGAGACAGACGCTCAGCTCGCCAAGCACGTCGCCTACGTGCACATGAACAACCGTCACCCAGACCTCGGCACCGTCGACGGTGTTGTCTTCACACCCCACGAGGTGCGTGCGTACATCGCACAAGCCCGAACCTTCCGCCCCGTCGTCCCCGAGGCCGTGTCTGAGTATCTCATCAAGACGTACGTGCGTCTTCGAGACCAGCAGCGCCGCGCCGAGAAGAAGGGCAAGCAGTTCGCGCACACCACACCACGTACACTACTTGGTGTCGTCCGTCTCGCACAGGCTCTAGCGCGTCTGCGTTTTGCCAACGCTGTTTCTCAGGATGACGTTGACGAGGCGCTTCGCCTGGTCGAGTCCAGCAAGGAGAGCCTGAACGCTGAGGTTGGCACCGGCGGACGCCGTGCACCCAATGCCAGCAGCAGGATCTACAACCTCGTCAAGGCTCTGGCCGACTCGGGTGCCTGCCGCGCCGATGATGCCGATGACGAGGATGACGAGGAGCTTGGCATCGAGCTCAACTTGCGGCGTGTCCGGGAGCGTGTCCTGGCCAAGGGTTTCACTGAGGATCAGTGGCTGAATGCATTGGAGGAATACACCGAGCTTGACGTGAGTACACCCCCTAAGACCGTAGTTGCGACGGAGTCACTAACAGAAGGCTATAGATTTGGCAAACTACTGGCAATGGCAGCCGCCTGGTATTCATCACGGCGAACAATGAGGAGAGGGAAGACAGCATGGAGCTGTGATGATTGGATGCTTTGGAAAAGACTTCTCGTTGTCTGAGTGCGTGGTCTGATTAATAAAACTGGCTTGGCGTTTATGGACATGGCATGAAGATTCGGATGGCTAAGACCACGGTAGATGAGGATGATTCTGATAACGTATTCTATGCAATGTAATATCTTGTTATTGATGCATCGTGACCGCAGACAAGCTCAAATGTGCAGTCTCAAGGCGATAACGCGAAGTGTGGGCGACCTTGGCTGTTATAAAAATACCTGTGGGTGGTGGTGTTCCCCTTTATGAACAGGTTACGGCCAGGAATGGCTCAGAGTCAGGCGCCAGTCTATGGGCAGTGTTTGAGAACTGTTTGAATAGTATGGTACAGGTGTAATTTATTGTCTTGATACAACACACAGCACTGATATACATGTTACACAAACTCAAGTATGGCCTTGAGTGCCTATCTCCCTACATTACAGCTTCATTGTCAGCAACGCGGCTCTCTCCATTTCGCCAAGCACGCCGTTGCCGCCAAGCGTCCACTTTTCGGTGACGGAGAGCTCGTCGACTCTCTGTCTAAGGAGACCGCTGGCAGCCCAGTACTCCATCAGAGCCCGAGCATCTGTCTTGCTAATGGCGTTGACCTTGAGCACTTCCACGCTCTTGAGCGCAGCATCGACACGCTCGTCGTACTTGCGGGAGAACGGATCCCTCGGCGGCACGTCCGCGCCCTCTTGCTCGGCCAAGCGCTGCACCAGCGCTAGCTCCACGGATGGCGAACGCGGGCTATTGTTGCCGCTCATGGCCGCGATAACGGCGCCGCCGTTTGGCAGTGCAGTGCGACCAGAGAGCATGTCGACGAAAGAGCCGACAATGGCAAGGTCGTGTGAGTGGATCAGCTCGAATGCAGGGCTGCGGTAATCGCTGATCTTCATGATGTGGGAGAGGCCGTCCAGGGCGAATAGGAACGGCGGACGGCCCTCGCCCTTGACGGTCAGCTCGGACCAGAGAGCCTGGAAGATTGCCCATGCTCCGTCGGCCTCTCTGGCCGTGTCGGCGAGAGCCAGGACTGTGGACCCTTGAGCAACAGGGTTGATAAGGTTGTCGTGGGACTTGACGACGGTGAGTTTGCTAAGAATGTGTTCGTTTGATTTGCGGATTGCCTGGATCATCTTGAGGGCATAGTTCGGTTGCATCCACTGCACAGGATCCGTGCCTGGTATCGCGGCGTACTCAGTGCAGGCGGTGGTCAATTCTTGTGCTGTGGGTTGTTAGCACAATGTACATTCAAGCTCGAGCGTACGGAGGTTTACCTTCGGGGATATTAACGACAATCCAATCGTTCAGGAAGCCATTAGCCAATGCTTGGAGGAGCAAGGTGCTCTTTCCTGACAATCTATCTCCCGAGATGACAAGCCGTAAAGCTTCCTTCTTGTCGGCCGCAGCCTGCATCTTCTTTGCTAGGTCCGCCGTCTCTGAACGCAGTAAAACATGTGGACTGCGGAACAGTCCCCAGGTCTGTGTTGCTTTGAAAGCCTCGCTCGCACGTAATTGATCGACCAGCTTGTCAGGAATCGAAAACACCTTGCCTGCATTTGCTGAGTCTGCCATAGTCTCTGCACTAAGAGTGTCTAGACCGGGAACCTCGAGAGCGTTGTTGTTGCTAAGGACGATACGTTTTCGGAACGCCTTACGCTCTCCGGGAGCTGGCGACTTGGTCTTCTCAACCTTCTTCTTCTTGAACTTTCCCAGCTGCATCTTCTTTCCCGCTCTTTGATGCTGGCCGGTGCCGCTAGCCTTGGCCTGGGTCTTTGCGACCTGCGCGGACGTCGAGAACTGAGCCGAGGCGATCATGATCGGAACGATTCGCTGGGGAGCTGCTGGCACGCCCGCTGACGGCCGCAGAAGGCATCTCCAACAGTTTACGGACGCCATCGTGCCGTCTTCCGTGAAGTCCCGCCGTATGGGAACCAATTGCGGCGCCCGTTGCGTTACTTCGCCGTCAATTGCGAAGCTCAACTAACACGCGCCCTGGAGCTTGGGAGAAAATCGACAGTCAAATCTCAAGGACCGCGGTGCACGGGCCAGAGAAGTCGGCGTCCGCCCACACAATCATCCGCTCCCGCCAATTGCCAGCGGTCCCCACATCGATCTGCACGTCGAGACCGCCAAAAAGTCGAAAAGTCGAACTGCCGCCCATCAATAGTTAAACCATCACTAAAGAAAGGCCTGCTGCTAGGAGGGGTATGAGCGGAACAGAAATCATCACCACCAACGACCCAACCACGAATATCTGCGGAGCACTTCTTTACGATCGGAAGTTCTTGACACAACCCTTCAAAATGTCATTACCCTCAGCACGGCCCAAGCTGCCCGTGGCAGTGAACAAGCCCACGCCGTACACCTTCGATCTAGGCTTGCTCCTCGCCAACGACCCCAATCCCCTCGAGCTAGACCCGGAGAACCTCGAGGGCTCTCTCGCCGCCGTGGCCCGCGACGGCGCCCAGGCGCTCATCAACCAGCTGCTGACCACGTGCCCCATTACCTCCAGCAAGGACGCGGGCGTGCTGCTCTCGCTGCCGCCGCAGACGACGGCCCTCCCGCGCGAGAAGCCCGTGCCGGCGGCCAAGGCGCCGACCAAGTGGGAGCAGTTCGCCAAGCGCCGGGGCATCAAGCCCAAGACGCGCGAGCAGCGCAAGAACCTGCAGTTCAACGAGGCCAGCGGCGAGTGGGAGCGCAAGTGGGGGTACAAGGGCGGCAACAAGGGCGTCGAGAACGACTGGATCGTCGAGGTCGACCCCAAGAAGGAGGCCGCGCGCAAGGAGGGCACGACGGTGCGCGGCGACTCGCGCAGGGAGCGGAAGGAGAGGCAGAAGCGCAACGAGCGGCGGATGCGGAAGAATCAGCGGGACGCCGGCAACAGGTGAAGCGTCGCTGGTCGTGGTCGAGGGCGAGAGTGCATCACAGATGTGGTGATGGAATCTCTGCATTGCATTTGGCAGGCGTTTGGTGTCAGGAACTGGAACAAATTGCTGGATCGGTCAGCCCTTTGGGCAAGGTTTTATAGGTCGCGAGCTCTGTCACTTGCGATGACATGGAATTGAAAGAACTGTAGCTGAAGAGTCATAGTGTTTTCCATCATCCAATTTTGTCTCGTGCTAGGACCATGCCATCTCTCGAATTAACCTATAGTACAGTCGACTTTTTCGGCCTCCCAACGATGCCCCTCATCAATCTCCAAAACAACTCTAAACCGACGGTCCAAGCACATGTCTTCCACAGATCTGTCCCATGTTCTCATCTCTCCAAACCATGAGCCGCCAGGCTTTATTTCATGCCGCAATCAACGAGCCGAACCACCGAATTCCTGATCTGATGCTCACAATGTAGGAAGGTTGCCATCCAAGCTGGTACGTCGCTCCGCTTTGTGGGTTGGTAATCATAACGTCAACTATGCAACTATCGGCCTGCTCCATCTCCTGAGAATAAAACAATGCCATGGGGGGTATACAAATAAATAGAAAGCAATATCGAAGAGTCCCAAGGTGTAAGCAACATGCCTCTCCAACTTCCTATCCATCAGTCCAAGTGCGAAGTGGTACCACTGCACTGTACCAGCTGTGGGCGGGTGATAAAAAGAAAAAGTCGTCATCGGCGTTAGTCGTCAGGAGAATGATGCTGCTATCATATAACACGGAACTTCGCCTTGATAAAGTGAAAATAGAATGCGCAAAGAAGATATCGTGATAGGGAAGCGGCCTTAGAAACCCAAGGGTGAAAGCGGTTTAATTGGTGACAGTGGGCGGAGATCGCCTGATCTTCTTGGAGGCGTCTCTTGGCCACTGTTGATCGTAAGTGTAGTAGAGATGGTCGAATTATTCGAAACAACGCTGCCGTTCTCGGGACCGTTCTTCTTCTTGAGTCTCGCTTTGTGATCAGAGGTCTGATGCGTTGACTGCTTGCTACTGTCCGAGGAGGATACATTGCGATCATCAATGGCCTCTTCCTGCTGCTGTCTCCGAGGATCTCCCAGGCCCCTCGGGGGAGGTTGGTCAAACAGCATGTATTCCTCCTCTATAAACTTGGCTTCGTGCTTGCAGCCCTTCCAGCAGTCTCTCCAGTCACAGACCAAGAACTTGAAGGAGAAGGCATCAATCTTCATGCAAGGCTGGAAACAGATGCAAAGATTTCGGAAGTCCATCTTATTCTTGTCAGAATGCGCAAGTAGAAGGCTCAAGTGGCAAGTGATCGCAAAGAGGAGGTAGTAGTTGAAGGGGGACAGGTTTGACAGCTCATCGACGAGCATCTGCGGGACGGTCTCAGAGCCAGCACATTCTCTCGCAATGCGCTCCTGGGCCTCCTTCGGGAAGAGCTCGTCGGGCAGTTCTCGGAGCCAAGCTTTCAACATGGAGCCAATAATGTTGATATCATAGAGGTCATCCTGGCTGAAGAGATCCACGTCATATTCTGCGAGCACGTCAGCATAAGTCTCGAAAAAAGAAAAAAGAAAAGTCTGGTAGGGATATTGCTCACGCTCATCGAACTTCCGTTGCCATTTTTTTATTTGTGGGCCACTTCCTGGGACACGATACAAGCCTTCGACATCGCAGCCTTTGTAATTGAGGTAATCGATGGCTCTCCACGGGAAGGCAGGCATCCAAAACTCGGTCTTGTCGCGAGAGTCTTCCAAGCGCTTTGATATCCTAGTAAGGCGAGTCTGCTCAACAAGGGGCAGATTGATGACCTTCAACTGATAATGTTCGTCATCAATCACGGGCTCTCTTTCCGTGGTACTCCCACTTCTAGTTCCTTTGCCAAACAAGCCCTTACTGATCATGTCTGCTGCCCTTGATGACTTGAGACCGCTGAAGAAGGATGGTCCGTTGTTCTCCTTGTATGATGACGGCTGAGTCCTACTGTACTCCTTCTCGTTGTGGCCACCTCTCGTGCCCGACATGTCTCGTGGCTGGGCTCGATCAGCCGAGTGGTTGCGTGCGGCTGAGGACATCATGTCCCTGAATGACCGGTCGTGAGGAACGGGTGCAGTCTTCAGAGGAGCAAAAGTGTTTGCCCGTTCGGGTTCTGCGACTTTCGGCGCAGCCACCTCCTTTGGGCTGGGGCTGTCCTTGTCGCGTATAGATCTTGTGCGGCCCAGGATCGTGAAAGGCTTTGGCTTTGCACCCTTTCTGTGATAATTGGAAGGGTTATTGTGGTCGTAATCGGTCGTCGAAGATGCCAAGGATACATCCGACTTGGAGGGCATCGAAGAAACAGGTTTCCGAACAGGTTGATCGATGTAAGAGGGGTCTGTGAAAGGACATAATTAGCGCTATTCATACAATGAAGTGAAAGATCACAGCGGCTCTTTGTTGGCGCCACTGTCCACACACACACACACACACACACACACACACACACACACACGAACATACCAGAATGCTTTGAACTCTGTTCCGGCATGGCGGGATGGTCACTCCCTCTCGACATAGTAGGGGTATCAGAAGTCGAGTCCGAGTACTGGTGGGTATGGAGCCGATCAGAAGACTTGGACGACTTGGAGAAATTGAAGAAGAAGCCGGACTTAGAGGCCTTCTCCTCCTCTTGCCGGTGATGACTGTGTCCGCGCTGTTGCTGCTGCTGGGTGGTCGGTGGTTCGAAAGACTGGTGAATGGCTGAGGAGATGGGCGGATACTGGCCTTCCTCGTGCGATGGCTGCTGCTGTACGAGCTCGGCTACGTGCAGAGGTTGCTTGGGGCCGCCGACGATGGTTTGGGATTTCTTCGGAGAGAATCTGAATGGAGAGCGTGGAGATCTAGGTGACCTGGACTCGGCTGGCGAGCTGACCTGAAGGGTTTCACCAGGGCGGTGGTCCTCGTCTCCCAGACCCGTGGGATCAGAGGGCAGCGTCAGCGGCTGCGGTGCGGGCTTGCGTCCCATGGCGCCCAGATAATGCTCGGCCTGGGTATAGCAGCAGTAGCAGGCTTTGTCCTGATTCGCACCTCGCCGCAGGAGGACAGCTGGTCGGTCTGGTGCAAAGCCGTGTCAGTGTCTGTCGAAGACTGACAGGGTAGAATAGGCAGATTTGGGCCTGCGACAAATGGGAGACCGACCCCAATGAAGCACGGAGTACGGAGGATCAACGGTTAGTCGTCGAGGGTGGTAGGGATGTAGGAAGTTGGCCGAGCAAGTGAGTCGATAGGTAGACTGTAGTGCAGGGTAGGTTGGTCTGCGCGCGCGCGAAGTACAAGACTCGGGGCAGTCGGGTCGGGGCTCGTAGTAGGTAGGGAGGGAGGGGGAAGGGGTAATTGGCGGCTGTGTCGCAGTCTCGACTTGGGGAGGATGGACTTGTACCCTTTGGAGCTGGGGGCCAGGCAGGTGGGTAGTGTACCCAAATGGTAGGTTACCTGCGAGCTTCTCTCTACCTAATGCAAAGATATATTTTGTGGTCTTGTTAATAGTGGGTGGATGGATGGATGGATGGCTGGATGGATGCGCCCACAGCACGACGTGTGAGTGGTGCGTGCACGATTGCGGTCAACCTCGAATTGAGTGTTCACTGTTAACCCAACTTCGTCCTGGTGGCTTGGTGACAAGCTGAATCGCCTCCAAAATGCTGTCTGTCCGTCAGGGAGGCGCCATCAAACCGTCACAAGATTGCCTGTCTGTGTGCCTTCTTCTGCTGGCTGCCGATGGTTCAAGCGCGCAGGCCGAAAATAACATCTAGAATGGTGCCGGCGAGGATATCTGAAACAGTTGCTCTGTGCAGCAGGAATGTGTGTCATCAGGGGTTGGCCAGGTTTAGGTGGGTGAGGTAGCGGTAGCTCCCTAGGTATTGTCCCTAGTGCGGCAGCGCCTATTGTATGGTACGGTATGGTATGGTATGGTATTGTGGTATTGTAAGGAATTGTGTTATTTCAACGCCGGGTCTCTCTCTCGACAAGGTACCGGGCGTAGCAGCAACCCACGAAACAGCAGGCGAACAATCTGTGAAAAGGAACAAAACGGCTGGGCCCTCCGTCGTCGCGTGGAGTACCTGAAGAGCTGGTGCCGAATCTCTTTGTGGCAGTGTTATCTTAATAAGAGGGGCGCTGGGAGGGCTAGAGACTTGACGCGTCGACAGTTCATTTAACTGGTAGCTTACTTGTTCCAAGTAGACAGGCCAGCTAAAGCTTAGATGATTGCTCACGAGTAAAATCCAAGTGGCCGTGTTGATAAGTTGTGCGCAATGTGATATTATAGCTCATGCCACGACTTGACTTGCCTTGTCTTGGTGGAGAGATAGACGAGGAAGAGGAGAGGGGTTCCGTGCGGCGGTGTCAAGAAACAAAGCGATGCGAGTCAAAAGAAGGTGGGATGGATGGATGGATGGATGGATCAATACCGGATTTGCCTGCCTACCTAACCCAAGACTACCGTAGCACCACCAACAGTCAACGACAATGCCCAGCAACATGGCCACCCAAATCTTGAACTCACCATCTCAACGCTCGACTAGACATTTCTAGGGGATGATTGGTGAATGGCGCCTCCATAACTCTACCTAGGTACACGTGTAGATATCAGAGAGTTTGGCAACCAAGACCTGCCGCAGGTACATTCACAACCGGATGCCTGTCATTTGAGGCGCATTTCTCGTGTCCGAGAATGTGACTGTCATCTCATCAATCACAGTAAATGGCCGCTAGGGCGACAGCTTGTCTATAAGAGCTGGCAGGTGCTCCCTCATGGAAATCCATACGAAACTTTGGCTTCAACTCGCCAACTCTTCATCTTATTCTCGAACCATTCCCAGAGCCTGCTCGGACCTGACACTAGAACTACTTTAACGTTAATCAAGTGTGCGTGCGCCCTGGGACCCGGCTTCAGTGAGGGGTCCGGGCAATCCCGCAAAGGGACTAGCCAGGAACACAAAGCTAAGTGGCACTTCTGAAACTCGGCACGTTTCTCTGCCAGACAGATTTGGCCCTCACAAGGCACGACTAATACATGCCAACGTGTTGCCCGCTGGGCTGGTGTTTCGTCTCCGCGGCCGTTGCCTTCTCCACAGACAAACTCAAATAGATGTTCTGTGCATCCCCATGCGACTGGATCGCCAGCCACGATGTTGCAAGCGAGAAACCGTTTATTGTCTGTTCTGATGCAGGAATAACGGTCAGGCCGACGACCCTGGCAGGTGATGGTGCTCGAGAGAAACAGGGGTTCTCAAAGGCCAGCATGCGCTTATCTGAAAAGCATCCGACAGGATAATAGTGAGTTTATGGTAATGACATGCTTGCTCTAGTTACTAAACTAGTCGTTCCACAAGGGCGATTGCCGACCTAGTTCTGCGATCATTCTCCTCCGTTCAGAGAGCATGATACATATTCCTCTTAAATTGATCACCTCAATCGTTCATTAGACCTCATTGATGTTGATTCGTGTTTTGTATGCTGAAGGCTGTAGCTGCTTCGAACTGGGGGACCCTTCAAATCGCGCAATCGGATCACCGCTGCAAGCACTTCGTCGCCCCCCTGGTGTCGATCGCTGGAGGCTAGTGTACTGTGTATGCACGTACTTGCACAAACTCCAGAAACGGCTCCAGTCGAGGCTCACCGCGATTTCAAGCCTGCACCAGTCACTTGTCATATGGCTTCTAAAAGAGGGCAGTCTACCGGAGTAATTCTCACAGATCAGATCAGTTGCATACGCAGTCTGCATAGCGCCGCGTGCTATAGGGAGACTAACTCGGGGGTGATTCGTCAAGGCGGTCAGCATTGCACGGTCCTTGGCACCAAGAAGGACTGCCTGCATTGCTCGCGGCATCTGCTCTCGCGACGATGAATCTCCATTGCCCTGATGACCTACAGATCTATGTTAGAATTTAGTTAGGAGGTAATTCAAGCTACCGGCTATCAGCCGGTGCTGAAAACGATCCCGGCCTTACTTGATCGCACTTGATGTTGACTACCGTTGGTGACTTTGAAGTGCTTGTAACGATGTCGTAGAATCCTGAAAATTAACCCCCAGTGATTAGCTTCATGTAACAAAAATTTTTTTTTTTTTTTTTCAGAAGCTTCAATGGTCCGGCATCGTCTGCTCGCGGGTCATTTCGATCTGTGGCCGGCGCCGTGAGGGCCGAACCCGCCGAAAGTGCCCACATCCGGGGTTACGTAAGGATGCCAAGCCCGGCAACGACAGTCCAATACGGTGGATCTCTCCTGCAACCAAAATCGCTGCCTTGAAATAAGCACACTCCTGATAACGTTGAAGGACAGGCGTCTTAAAGAATCAGCTCGTCTTCCAACCACTGCTGCTTCGTACCCATTCTATGGCCCCTCAATCAGATAAACTACCAGACGAGCTTCTCCACTCTATGGCCGATAAAGTTGACAGCTTGTCGCGGTTGGCGACAGAGAAACATGTCACATACATCCAAAGTCTGGATACGAAGAAAGACGAGTACGACTACTGGCTCACTGAACACCTGCGCCTGAATGGCCTCTACTGGGGCCTGAACTCACTTCATCTTCTCGGACATCCCAACGCGCTCCCACGGGATAAGACGATCGATTTCGTTCTCTCATGTCAGCACGAGAACGGAGGCTTCGGCGCCGCTCCGGGGCATGATGCCCACATGCTGTCCACCGTCAGCGCAGTGCAAATTCTTGCAATGATCGATGCATTTGACGAGCTGGAGAAGCGGGGCAAGGGGAAGGCGACAGTGGGCAAATGTGAGTTCTTGGCTCTATGTCTCAAGGATATCTGTAACTAAACCTTTACCAGTCATAGCAGATCTCCAGAACCGGGAAACTGGCACATTTGCTGGCGATGAGTGGGGCGAAGAAGACACTCGCTTTCTCTATGGTGCCCTCAACGCGCTGTCTCTGTTGGGGCTGTTGTCTCTTGTGGATGTCGACAAGGCTGTGGAGCACATTGCCGCATGCGCCAACTTTGACGGCGGCTATGGAGTCAACCCCGGCGCCGAGTCTCACTCGGGCCAGATCTTCACATGTGTGGCTGCTCTGTACATAGCCGACCGGCTAGATCTTGTCGACACAGACCGGCTTGGCCGGTGGCTCAGCGAGAGGCAAGTCGCGAGCGGCGGGTTCAATGGCCGGCCTGAGAAGTTGGAGGACTCCTGCTACAGCTGGTGGGTTCTGAGCAGTCTCAAAATGATCAATAAGGTCCACTGGATCGACAGGGAAAGGCTCATACAGTTCATCCTGAAATGCCAGGACCCTGAGCTTGGTGGCATTGCAGATCGACCTGGAGATATGGTAGATGTCTGGCACACGGTGTACTCGGTAGCTGGGTTGAGCTTGCTAGATTATGAGGGCTTGGAGGTGGTGCATCCGGCCTACTGCATGCCCGTCTCTACCATTGAACGCGTCCTGGGCAAGAAATAATCCAAGCCTGATAATTGAGGATTCAAAGGGTTCCAGGAGTTCTTGCCACTGTGCTATTTCTTTGAGATGCTACCTAAGTTGCGGCAGTCTGCTAACCTGCCACTAAGGTCACAGAGAGTGTGAGATACAGTGCGATAGAGGCAGTCTTGATGAAATTAGGCCTCAACCTTCCTTTCTGCGTGCTTCTGAATGACGAACAGTTTTCTCAAGCAACTTCACCAAGGCAAGACTATAACAGCGCAAGGAGATCTTTCTCTTGAATCACATCCCAATCACTCTATCTCGCTTTTTCTTTTGGACATCTTGAATTTAGACTTTAATAAGCCTCTTTCGAGATTTCTACCCCAAGACCTTCTCATTTATTTTACTCAATTCCGTTGTACACCAGAGGTTATGGGAGCTGACCACCAAACCCCCCCCACAGAATCCACACATACAAGAAATTGCGGTAATTCTTTCACTCCAAGAGTACATTTCTCCCCGGTCACCTACTTCGTATCTTTCTCTTCTCTTCCACTCTTTGAACGACACCAAATCTTACAGAGTGCCTTTGAAAGACTGATTATACATCTATCTGGGCTAGATAACTACAGTCAGAACACTCGAGGGTCCATAACAGACGAACAATCAAAGCACACAATACTGCTCTCAAAGCTCGCAAATCTCTTACACTTACACAAATCACAAAACAAGGACTTTATTGCAACTTCCGATTGCCTGCAATGATTGCGACATATGGGCACCTCGATATTACTGTTCTTCTAGGCAATACAGTCCAACTGTTGCCTGATACACCATATAACCAGCTTATGAAGTGAGAGCAGAAGCAAGCTGTCAAGTTCTTTAGCATCCTACCTACCTAGTTTACTCTGACCTAGAGCGCGTGCTGGATGCCCCAATCGCCCTAAGGTCTCGTCCTTCCATTAAGGGCAAGAACACTAGGCTCGAGCTGTCTCCTTCCCACATTCGGTCGTTCTTTCCTTCACTCACCCAACCAAATTCCTAGTTTCGCGTGTGTCATCCCTCCTTCCTCGTCACTACTTTGAGATATTTCCTCCGTCACATCATTCCATCCATTCTTTCCCCAACACCTCCCTGTTGTCGCGCACTCTCCCCATTCATCCTTCCCTTTCCAAAGCCACCACGGCCTCTCCCTCTCCCCTTTACCTTCCCTATTCAATAAACAAGGCATCTTTCCTTCTTAGGCGTAACTTCAACTCGTTCTTCCTTCCTTTCCCCTTTTCAATCTATACTCACAGTTACCAAGCATTGTTTCCGTTCGTTATTTGGGTCCTAGATTGGGGGAGCACAATACTGCTGGGCAGGCTGGTACACACTACCACGGTCTGGCTACCGTATTCTAACAGACTGAACATCCACGCAGCTGTGCTGCATTCAAACTAACTAAGGCAGTGACCATCGTGTGTCGCTCCTGCCTGGAACATTGACACTTGAAATACGAGTCATCGGCTCCTGCTGATCATGACGGAAGAGTTGGGAGACCCTACTACAGACTCATGCATGCAAGAGACTGAGGCATACCAGTCCTTCCCTCTGACATTCCAGCCTCTCACTGTCAACCCCCTATACCTTACTCCTTCAGCCAACGTTCCGTATCATAACCGGTACTATCATCGCCCGCTGCTCTCGCCCGCTGAATGTGCCGCGAGCCATTTCCTTGGCCACGCAGGTGTCAGCTGCTGGGGTACACCGGATGTGACTTCTCTTGAAGGCGCACACCCTGGCAGTGGGGAGCTCCTTCGGTGTCAGTCTCTCGTCCCGGGTTCTATCAAGCAAGAGATTCACCCCGCAGGTGCCACCTGGGACACTTCAGAGGGACAGATGTACCCGATGCCTCCTTCCCCAACCTCAACTCAGGTACGTTATTATCTGAGTACTCGATAATTTCTCGCCGTTCTTCATCGGTGAAGTTGTTCTCCATGTCAATTGTTCCACAATCACATTGCTTCTTGCTTTCCCCCTGGCTGTTTGTCCGCTCATTTGTCTACTCGCTTCCTAGGAGATCTTGACCGTTGAGTTTGCGACTTGTCTGCGTCGTTTGGTGGGAGGAATTTTCTCTGTACTAATCTGATCTGCCGTAGATCATGGAAACAGACGACTCTGGAGTCGACCCGCAGGCCAATGTTCAACGACCCTCGGCTCCTGAGCAGAATCGCGTCACACCATTGCAATGTCTTCTCTGTCCCAAGGAGCCTAAATTTTCTGACGTGTCTCACCTACTGACCCATATCTCGTCAAAATCGCATCTGGCATGCCGCTTTAGGCTTGAGCTACAGAAGAAAAGCGATGTCGTCGCAAAGTCGAAAATTATCGCCTTCGACGAATGGTACCAACGAAACAGAGTTGAGGCCCTACTAGACAATCGGATGGCTGCAAAAAAGGACAAAGCTACGGCTTTGAGAAGCAAGGCTTCTACAGGTGGCGTAAGCATTTCCACCCACCCCCGATAATCCACAAACTTGACTTGACTAAAACGTAACATCAGACGAAGCGCCGGCGGTCGGCCACAACAACAACAACAACAACAACAACCGTCGACTCTCCGGCCACAAGAAACAAGCCACACCAGCCCCATCTTCATCACTGGAACACCTCATCTGGACGTGCCTCGCTTCACCTCCATGAATCCAGAGACGACGTGAAGTCCGAAGACGCGTATTATACCCCATCAGAAGACCGCACCGAGCCTGAAATCTCCCTGACAATGTCGTCACAAACATCTCGTGTTACGAGGAGTCGGGCTAAGCAAATCTCTGCCACATCGAAGCAAGAGCAAACAGATCACACTGACACCACTATCCCGTCAGAATCGACGGCTGCATCCGCTGACGCCGGTGAGGTCGATGCGACCAAACTTAAAGGCATCGTTTGGCCTGGCATGGGCATATTTGACGCTGCGACGTCTGAGCAGAAGCGGATGCGGAATCAGAAGAAGGATTCATCTGTGCTTCAGAACATGATCACCACATCGAAGTCTGTCCACCACGATAAGTTCGTGTGGGACGACGATTTCGCGGGTGTGCCAAGGATTCGGGATATCTATGCTAGCCCGTCCACCGATGGAAGCCCCGTAAGCCTTAAAACGTCTCCTGACGACTTCTTGTTACACATTTACTAATCTCTACTGTCAACAGGATGCCGATGAAGATGAGGACAAGCAGGCGAAGAAGAAGCGTGGCCGCCGCCCAGCCATGGTAGAAGACGGCGATAGCATTCGTCAAACTAGGTCCACTACTAAAGCGGCAACGCAAGGCCGACGTGGCCCGAAACCCAAGATGCCCCTTAAGAAAGTCAAGGATGAATCTGATTCAGATGCTGAAGAGATGAACGATGGCTTAAGCGATGATGTCTTCCACGACAACCGTACAAGACGATCTGGTAAGCCTATCACCATTCACCACCAATGAACGAAAGCTGATATTCTCTTCAGGAGCCGTGAATGGTCGTTCCAGACCTTCTCTGAATCAGAACCAAGACAAGTTAGGTCAACCCAGCCCTTTCTTAGTTCACCATCTAATGATTAACATATACAGCTTTGAACTCCCGGGCCGCCCGGCGTTGCAAAACCTCAACTCAAACGCGCCTCTGGGTTCGCCAACTCCTGTGTTCAAGCAACGCAACCACAGCTACCCGGCTTTTGGAGCCAAGGAGCACGAATTGCACGCCTATCCAGCGCAGTCTTCAGTGACACCACCAGTCCACTTTGGTCAGAGACTGTTCCCAAATCCTGCGGGACCCAATCCACTGTTCCATCCTCAGTCTCAGAATGGACCTCCGATGCCGTATAGTGCCCCTACCTACGGTCAACAAGCTCGCCCCGCAAATTCTTTCCTATCAGTCAATCAACCGCAGCAGTATGTGCCCGGTTCATGGCCGTCTCTGGAAGAGTTTATGTCGGGTCGCGATGCAGGCAATACCGCGCAGTACGACTTTTGATCTGTTCTTGAGAGTCTGATCTTGTTACTGTATCACGGTCAGACGAATGCTCGCTCTTGGCTTGGTGCTTTGCAGACTAGCACTTACTCTTTGGTTTTCGGTCGGATCGACCTGCGGCACTTGTCGCTGGGTCTGGTTGGAGGACGATATGAAACAATTATGCTGGGCACAGCAGTGTTATCTATCATCAGCGCAACGATTCTACTCCTTACAGTGTCCCCCACTACGCACAACGACTTCATCTAAATGATTTCATCTCGTTTGGGGCGAGAAACACATGGTTGCCGTTAGGGATGAATGCAGCCACTGCAAGGATACCTCCATCTTCATCGCTTTGTTTTTGGTCGATACGGAAACATCCAACATCAAAGCGACAATGCTGCGATGGCTCAGTGTTACTTATTATTTGCTTTTCTTCTATTCAAATGCCTCTGCTCGATATTAGGGTTGCACGATTTGGAAGACTATTAGAGCAGAGGCATGCCCATGGTGGTTGATCAAGCCCACATTGATACCAGATAAGCGAAAATGGTCTATCGTATATATAGGCACAACAAATTAAAGTTTCGTCCATTGAATGCTTGTTCAGCCCTTGAATTATCATTACATGTAGGTTGTGTCTTCCGGGTCTCAGTAGGTCATTTACAATTGCTCGATGCTTGAAATCAAATGGTCAAGCTGAGCCGTACCATGCTCAAGGACATCGCTCATTAATGCTGCCGCGCCACGAAGTCTCCGCATCTTTACCTCCTCCTCCAGTTCACTGGACTTCTTCGCGGCAACATCTAGCACCTTCCGTGGTATCTGGGCCAGTCTGGCGACATTCAAGCCGTAAGATCTGTGAGCAACGCCCTCGCCGACTTCGTACAGGAATGTAATCTCCTCATCCGCATCGACAGCTGTATCGTCATGATCCCCGGTAGGAGACCTGGTGTCCCGTCCCGAGGTGCCGTCTGCCAGCTTTGTAGCCGTGAACCGCATGTGCACGTTCTTCACGAGGCCATCGCCGAGCCCCTCGGCGACCTTGGCCAGGCTCTGGTAGTGCGTGATGAACAGCGTCAGGCACTTGGTCTCGCGCACGACGTGGTCCAGCACGGCCTGCGCGATGGCGGCGCCGTCGTGCGTGCTGGTGCCGCGGCCGAGCTCGTCGAGGACGACCAGGCTGCGCGGCGTGGCGGAGCGCAGGATGGAGGCCGTCTCGCTGACCTCGACCATGAAGGTGCTCTCGCCCGCGAAGAGGTTGTCGCGCGCGCCCATGCGCGTGTAGATGGCGTCCGCGAGCGTCAGGCTCATGGCGTCGGCGGGGACGAAGGAGCCGATCTGGGCGAGGAGGACGAGCAGCGCTGCGGCGCGCACGAAGGAGGACTTGCCGCCCATGTTGGGCCCCGTGATGAGGTAGGCGAGTGGAGAGGGGGACGAGAGGGTGCTGGTGAAGGGGATGTAGCCGTTTGGGAGTGTGTGTTCGGCGATGGGATGTCGCCCGCCTGTGACGGACACGGTGGGGGGCGCGGTATCCGGGAGAATTGTTGGTTTACTGTAGCCGGGCAGGGCGGCAACTTTCGAAAGAGATACGAGGCAATCAAGTGTTGCGAGAGCGGCGACGGCATCACGCAGAGGCTGATAGTCGGCTGCGATGGAGTTCAGAAGATCTTTGAAGGCGGTATCACACGCAGCGGCGAGAGCTTCCTTGTGTTGATCACGCTCATTGATGAGTCGGACCACTTCTGGTGTGTGGAACCTGGACAACTTCTTTGTGCCACTGATTTTCATCCATGAGGCTGGCACTTTCTTGAGGTCGGTGTTTGGGACTTCGATGAGAAACTCTATTCCAGCAACTGTGGCGTAGGAGACTGGTGACTTCTTACCCAGCTTGGAGGCTGCTACAGCTCTGTGGGCGTCGAGATCTTGCTCGACAGCGGCAATGCCTAGTTTGTGGTTTGTGATATCGTCTGTCTCCTCAAGCTCTCTGAAGAACTCATACTTGTCGTCCTTCCGTGCGGCCTCCGGATTAATCTTCTCCAGATAGGAAACGACTGTCTCGCCAATTTGTGGAATGGAACAGATGGCTTCACTCAGTAGAGGAGAAGTATATCCTGTATCTGCTTTGCTCTTCACAGACGCATACTCCACCGAGATCTTTTGGAGCGTCTGGAGCACGCCAAGCAGCTCGGGACGGGTACACTTGCCGTAGTAAATGCGAATCAAACTCCGTTCTAGATCAGCTTTGATGCTCACGAGCAACTTTTCGAGCTTGTCCACCTTGGCCGTAGACTGATTTTCGAACAGCTCTTCGACAGCTGACACACGCTCTTCGAGACGCTCTCGATCCAGAAGTGGCCGCCCGATCCATTTTCTCAGAAGGCGCTGACCAAAGCGAGTTTGTGTCTTGTCAATCGCCCAGAGCAGACTGCCTTTCTCTGTATGGTCCGTCGAGTTTCGGTAGACCTCAAGGCTTTCCAGTGTTGTGCCATTGATCAGCATGTGTGTTCTTGTGCTGAAAGACTGGAAGTATTTGGTGAGATTGAATATGTGTTCTAGACCATACTCAGTCAAGTGCTTAATCATCGCAGAGAGGCATATCGTCACGGGCTCCGGAAGATGAAGGACTTTCTCAAGGAGAGCTGCGGCACGATCGTCCAAACTATCTTTCAGCTTCCCAGCGTAAAACTGGGTGACGTGCGAATACGCTTCTGCAGCCATGGTTTTGCTCTTGGGGACTCGTTCAACCCGACTTCTGTCGCCGAAGACATTTGTGCTGCTTCCGGAAAGATGCTGGAGAAGCTTGTCCGAAGCCTTTGTCAAGTCGCCGACAATGAGAAACTCGCAAGGCGAGATATGCAGCAGTCTTGTCTCGATTTCTCTCCTCATGAAGCCATCCTCAAAATTATCGTAGATGATGTCACCCGTTGCCGGCTGCACCGCGATGATGCCGACATCAACCTTCTCATCCGTGCCCACCCCTTTTGTTGGCGACTCCGTTATGCAAAGAAGATACCCGCCAGCAGGAGCACCAGTGTTATCAGTGGATTGATCTAACTCGCCAAGTTCGTCAACATAGGTGCCTTTCGTGTAGACATTTGTGAGCTTTCGAATGAACGGGGCGTTCCGGTTGTCTCCCGCTTTCTTCAGTGCTGCGGTCTCGATTTGTCGTACTACACCGACTTTGTGACCAGCCGCTACAAGGCGCTTCGCATGCACTGGAAGACGGTGAACGGGAATACTGGCAGATGCAAAGCGGTCTAGATGCGCTTCAGAAGGATCTGGCCGTGTGTTAGAATCCATGATCACATTGCAGATTGGTGAAACTTACGCTCATCGTAGCGGAACTTTCCTGGAATGCACACAATGCTAAGCTCTTTGGCAGCAATACGCGCATCCTCTCCAAAGAATCGAAATTTGTAGCCCACTTCCACGATGAGGATGGTGTCCATATGCTTCCTCTTGATGTCGAGGAATTGTATTTCCATAGGAGTCAATTTACCCGTCTTTGATCCCTTCTTTTTAGTAGTCTTAGCTGGACGGGGCGAGTCTTCTTCTTCAGCATCCTCACCACCATCTCCTTCCTCTTCTTCGCCCGCAGCTGGCTCTGCCTCGACCTGCCATCGACGCTTAAGACTATCGGGATGACCGAGCTTCTTAACGAACTTCCGATGGAGTTCCTCTTTCCTTTTCCTGACGTTTACTTCGTCTTCATCCTCATCTCCGTCGACCACGTTGGCGCTGGGGCGCGACTCATCATGTAGATACCGTTCGGTCCTACCGCTGGCACTAGCAGTAGGCCTTACTGCCTCGATCGCTTTCGAGGGTGACTTCGAGAAGAATGTACTCCGTTCTGCACTCGGACCATCGGCTTTTGAACGCTTTATCGACCGGTCAGGGCCAGTGTTGCCGTTGTCAGTATCTGCTTCAAGAGGTCGCTTGCGGGCCGATGAGCTTCCACGGTCGTTGCTACCAGCACCACTGGAGCTCTGCTCCTCGGGATCTGGTAGAGATCTGGACAAGCCATTGACGGTCTTTTGAGTGAAGAAACTCGTCAGAGAAGCTTGTCGCTTCTCCAGCGGCTTGGAGGAGCCGGCCATGATTGTGGATGCAGGTGTTGGTTGTCCTGACACTTTTTTGTTTAATGACGTTGTCTAGCACTACCTCTTTACGCGCTTCGGGAGCTCGACGCGCCTCTAGTTTGACGGGAGCGCGCTACGGCGGCCGCCATCTCGCAGCTTACATAAGCCACACAGCCACTGATATCTCGGACTCAAATAGCTCGGTGCCTGCCTACAAAGTAACCGCAACAGTTGCTCTTCCTCCATTTTTTACGCTTCTGATGGCTTCGAATTCATTTAGCATACGTGATACACACGCCTCTGCTTCTAGCGTGGTGGTGAAAGCTATGAACGGCGCTCTCCGATAGAATGCTGCGCTACGTTGTTACTCTCAAGCCAATGGTGCCCCGAGCTGCGCAGCACTCGAGTTCATAGGCAAGCCATGATGCTTTCTTCGGCCGAGACCTTCTCTCAGGCAACTCGTCTCTGTCATGCGCCAGTAACGCCATAGCTCAGAGACATCTGAATAGAGTTGCAGCGGAAAACATCGTGTCATCATGCAATCGGGATCCTGACAAGCCAGGCTAATTCTCGTCTTGTCAGGCTGCCAAGTCTGCCCAGCCATTGGGGCTCCATCGAAGGACGCATTCACCCAGCAATCTAGCCTTCGCTTCAAAGCTTGGTCTTCACATGAGCGCTCGGGTGGCAACGGTGATGAACACGCGCCTCTGAATATCGGACTCTCCAACTTGCCTGGTTACGGGCCGGAAGTCGTGCTCACCACAGGCTCTCAGGCTCTACCGAGCGGGGGACAGCGCTGATAAAGCGTAGAGAGCTGCATACGTGCTATTCCCAGGACCAGGGTTTCTCTTGTCTAGACTGGCGTGTTCCGGGATTTGAGCTATTCCGGGCGGCAGCTGGTCGTTTGGGCCCAATCGAACAAAGATTCCATCCGCCCGCCTGGTTGTGTCCCGTCAGTCAATAGACATGTTGTCGCGGTCACCATTCAATATTGCGATTGCCACTTGGAGTAGTTGGAGAAAGGCCAGCTGCTGATGCGGCGGCGTTCAGCTCCAGCCCTAGCTTGGCCAAGCCGTGCGACTCAGGCTGAATTGCCGGCTAAATTGCTGGGAAAGTAACGTCCGCGTTTCGCAGCCGCGGCCCTGGCAGTCGACCGGGGCTAGTCGCCGTCCATACAGGAGCCTACGGGTCACCCATCGACGCCACAGATTCGGCCCCAAGTCATTCCCTAGGTACTCCTCTGCCAGGGTAATAAACGTTAATTCTTAAAGGGTGAAGATACTCAATGCAGAATGTCGTAGTACTCATCAAGCTCTCGAATATCCTGTCCGTTGTTATGGGTCTATCAACCTCTACAAAGGTAGTAATGCCTTGTTGAGGAGGTAGTGGTACCCTTGGCAAACTAACATTTATTACCCTGGCGGAGGAGTACTTCCACTTCCCCATGGATGACATTCCTACCACTACGGGGCTTTCTGGGGCACAATAATTTGCTATTCTCAGAGTTGATCTAGTCACGCCTGCTATGCGGAACTTGACGGGCTAGGTTCTTTTCAAATCGAAGCCATTGTGTCTTGCTTGGATCCTCAGCGGAGTAGAAGCGCAATTGTTCCGGCGGGCGTTGCTTAATCGGCCCTCATTAGAAGGACCACTCGGGAGCCACCGACGACGCCAACCATCTCCCCACGTTAGGCTTCTACAAGATCTCTGTGTACCGGTAGTTGGATGGTTGTGCAGCGTATCGTTATCCTGGGCTAGTCCCACCTGGTTTTGCTCTACCTTTTCGGGCAGTCTCCCAGCTAGCCTTGGGGATTTTCACATGTTCTTCAAACTTGGCACAACTTGACCCATTTTCTTCTCCTCATGAGTCCGGAAAACCTAACAGCGGTTTAGCGTTAGTCGGCCACTCATGGGCGAGTCGATGGCTATTATGTGACGGAGATGAGCAGTCCATTCTTTGGTTTATTCCAGCTTATTGGGTGGCACGGGAAGGGGTGCTTGCCTTATGCACCCCCATCTACATGCCACGAGTTTCAAGGCGATCAGCCCGGCGCCCATGAACTTCAATATTATTGCCTAATTGACTATAGCAGCCCACCCACTTCTGGTCTAAGAGGTCTCTCCACGAATTCCGCGTGATTTTCGGAGCCAAGTTTCGAGTTACAAGACTGTTGGATGATGGGATTGAGGGATGGACGTCCGGTTTCGATTTTCTGGGCTCTTTCGTCCCCAACATGGTACTTTTCGCAAGCGCGGCAAAAACAGGCGATACATTGTACGATGATATCAGATGCGCCAAGCCAGGCGCCTGTCCACGCACGCAAAAAGCACCGGATAGCTTGGGACCATACCCCTGGCAGAAGTTACACTCGCTTTCAGGACTAGCTTCCGTTTCTTAATTATTCAGGAAAGTCGCTACATCTGGAGTGGCCTGGACACCTTGCGGGGACCCCCCATTGGATTAAACAATTCCCCATTAGTGCGGAAGGACGTGACTACATTACACGTCGTGCCGCTCCAATGATCCGTTGATCGAGGAATGCTCAATGTCGAGCTAAGTTCCTGATACTCCGGGGAAGGTCAAACCAAGTACTCAACCCGGACTGAAGGGCGGGCGATCTGTCCTTAGGAAACTCGCACGCTGGTTCAAGCGATCAAGCAATGTTTGCCTCATTGGGTTACTACTACACCACGCGTCCCTAAATCTGACATAGACCATCATTTGGGTTGTCTGTCTGCCGGGTGATCAGATTGTTCAATTCCCTGCCGCCCTAGCCCCCTGTGCCCCCGGGGTCTGGTTCAATTCATCCACATCCTTGGAGTCTAATTGGGGTCACGCAAACCCTTGCCTAGACCCTCCTTGTGGTTCCTCTTCTACATCGCTTGGCACCGCTTGGCCCCGTTGGTAATATGACCCTTTGGTTCAGGTTTGCGGTCCGGTCGCCCGTATACGTACCCTTCCAATACTACTCCGTGCTACAGGTGAATCTTGTATATCTAACCCTGTGGCCCCGATCATGTCTTTCTCAAGAGTCCTTCCCCTGCCTCATCCATATTCGTTCGTCTCTGTCCGGATCGAGAGACGCAATTGGCAGGTTTGTTGAAACATACAAAGCTGACATCCTATTTTGTCAATTCTTGTACGCCTAGCCTAACTACCGGCTATAAGTTATCAGTATGGGGCTTTTCAAGCGAACTCCTAACAGGGAGGCCACTGTGCTCGCACAAGAGGAGGCTCCTCAATTCGAAAAAGTTGACTGGATGAAGGAGCCCGGTCTGCGGAAGCTGTACTTTTACGCATTCGTTCTTTGCGTTGCCTCTGCCACCACTGGTTACGATGGGTAAGTTGTCTAGATGTTACGAGTGCAAGAAAACGGCCAAGTGTTAACCCTTCCATCAAAGCATGTTCTTCAACTCCGTGCAGAACTTCGACTCCTGGAAGGATTACTTCGGTGACCCGCACGGTTCTATGCTCGGTCTCCTCGGTGCTCTGTACCAGATTGGCTCTCTTTGCTCCATCCCCATTGTTCCCATTATCGCAGACAGATGGGGCCGAAAGCCCCCAATTGCAATTGGATGTGTGATCATGATTGCCGGTGCTGCTATGCAGGGTGCTTGCCAGAATCTTGGAAGTAAGCAATTACACTGATAAAGCCACTGTCAGGCATTCTCTTACAGTCTATAGCTTTCATGGGCGGCCGTGCTCTCCTAGGTTTCGGTAACTCCCTGGCTCAACTCTCTTCCCCCATGCTTCTCACCGAGCTTTGCCACCCTCAACACCGTGGTCGTCTCACAGCCGTCTATAACTGTCTCTGGAACGTTGGAGCGCTCATCGTTTCTTGGCTCGCATTCGGCACTGACTATCTACACAATGAGTGGTCTTGGAGAATTCCTGCCCTCATTCAGGCCTTCCCTTCAATCATCCAGATCATCTTCATCTACTGGGTGCCTGAGTCGCCACGTTTCCTCATGGCCAAGGACCGGCACGAGGAGGCTCTTGCCATTCTTGCTAAGTACCACGCCAATGGCAATGTCAACCACCCCACCGTCCAGTTCGAGTACCGCGAGATCAAGGAAACCATCCGGCTGGAGATCGAGAGCAAGGCGAATAGCAGCTACAGCGACTTCTTCCGTACTAAGGGAAACCGTTACAGATTTGCCGTTCTACTGTCACTTGGTATCTTCTCCCAGTGGTCTGGAAATGCCATCATTTCCAACTACTCCAGCAAGCTATACGACACAGCTGGTGTCACAAACTCGACCAAGAAGCTCGGTCTATCGGCTGGTCAGACTACTTTGGCTCTCTTCGTCTCCATCTCCATGGCTCTGCTCGTCGACAAAGTTGGACGTCGTCCACTCTTCCTGGCGGCTACGGGAGGCATGTTTGGAACGTTCATCTTCTGGACTCTGACCTGCGGTCTCTACGAGGAGCACGATGCGCCGGGCGCTAGCAACGCTATGATCTTCTTCATTTGGCTCTTTGGTGTTTTCTACTCTCTGGCCTGGTCTGGTCTTCTGGTCGCCTACTCTATTGAGATCCTGCCTTACAAACTGCGCGCCAAGGGTCTGATGATCATGAACATTTCCGTTCAGTGCGCTCTCACTCTCAACACCTACGCCAACCCTGTTGCATTCGACTACTTCGAGAACCACACCTGGAAGTTCTACCTTATCTACACCGTAAGTATAGCCTATTGCTATTTCACACACACAAAGCTAATAGCACCTTTTACAGTGCTGGATCTTCCTCGAACTTTGCTTCGTCTACTTCATGTACGTCGAAACCCGGGGCCCAACCCTCGAGGAGTTGGCCAAGATTATCGATGGCGATCAAGCCGCTGTGGCTCATCTCGACATCCGCCAGGTCGAGAAGGAGGCTCAGATCCACGAGGAGCACACCACTCTTGGCGAGAAGGTCTAATCCTACTCTGCCATTCCTACCGGTCTACAAGTTATTATACACTGATCAAAAGGGACTCTTGTGCTACTTTCAGGTTCATGAGAGAACGCAGTTTGCAAAATCATAACTCCATGTAATACGGCGAGTCTACGGGGGCTCTTCGTGTCCCCGTGTTTGAGGTGGAAGCTATCACTGTCTAGCTCTAGTAGATAGACTCTTAATTCAAAGGTTGGATATCTGCTCCAAGTCAAACCGCTCATCACCAAACGTGCCGCTGTGCCGGTTGTGCTACGTGAAAGTCTGGCTCAAGCCGGGCCGTTCCCATCCAACTACTACCTAGACACCCTCCGAATATGCAGGTGCAATGTATAACTGGCGAGGCATACCCTCCAGCCAGCCAGCGAGATCGATCTGGGCCATGCATGCAACACAGAAGGCAGCCACCCCAGCCCAAAGTAGGCACCGTACTGTACTGTACTGCGCAGGCAGGATCCCGATTAGCCCGGGCCCTCCAGCGGACCAACAGGATGAGCGGGATGCGTGTTGCGTCGCTACCAAAGGACAGATTGCGGCGCACAACCCACGACCCACACGCCCGGATGAAGGACAAGCAGGAGTGAGTGGCTTGTCCTGATCGTGTTTCCCTTTTAACCGGTTAGGCGTTCCTGTAGAGCTAGGTGAATCGATACCAACATCAGATGGAGAAAAGCAGATCAATCCTCCTGCGCATCGGACCACACACACACACATACACACGGACAGACTTGATCGCGTAATGTAAACCCATCCGGTCTTTCTGACCTCGCAAGCGAGCAACCAGCAAGTCTTGCTGATCTGTCCGGCGCCAACGGCCTAGACCAAAACGGCTGGAAGGACCGGAAGCGCGTTGGGCCACTGTCGTTGCTCTCTACAAATGAACCAGCACCAACTTTATGACTGCCCACTCCACAGTCGACTCTGTGTGGTGTGTCAGCTGCATATTACGAGCCGCCTCACGGCCGTCGATTGAAACAGTGGAGAGATGCAGATCGGGCATCTCGGAAGCGGGAACTTACAGACCGGCGATTTAGGGAGAAACAAAATGTGGAACTCTATTGTATGCATTGAGGTCTTAATAGGCCTTAATATGGACATAGCCTGAGTAATTATAGGTAATAATAGCTTCGTCTGATAACATCCTGTGCTGGAATATGTCTCCAAATAAGAATAGGGCAGACTATCCGTATCGCTGTAATCCAATGTCATGCATGCCGCCGAAACAGATATTGCCTGACAGCTTCTTTGCCTAGGTCCGTCCAGGGGCAGCCGCCAGTTTGCTATTTTCGCTACGGCTTTGCCTCTTATCAACCCGGCTTCTTCGCTTACGCTGGCCGTTCGTCTTTGCAGTCCTAGTGCTTCTTGGTCTGGCTTTTGAAGTGACCGACTTGGTCTGCTCCTCATTTTCCCGTAGATCTTCAAAAGTTTTGAGGTCGGCTAGGAAGCGACGCAACCGCAGGCCAGTTTTGCTTCGGATCCAAGCATCTAGCTCTTCGTTACAGGCAGCACAGACAACCATCCTCAGGCTATGAAGGACGTCCTTGTCGTTGATGTCACGATCATCGTAGCTCAAATCACCGAGCACATCTGGTTGCTTGTCAAGTGACAGGTCTGAACCCGACGGTGGTGAAGTGAGTGGCACGTTCGATGAAGGATCGCAATTGTTCGGCTGCGTTTCATATGCCCTTTTTCTTGGAGAGTCATCGTGCCTGCTCGACGAAATTTTGGTACCAGAACTGAGTCCACGTGCTGCCTCAAAGTTGACTAATCTCTCCTGCTGTCTCCTGTGATCCATGTCGTTCAGCATCTCGATGATTCCGTCAAGAGCTTTTTCGAAGGAGGATGAGGATTCAACAGTCCCTTCCCAGGTGCACGGCAGTTTCGGGGCAGCGTCTTGGCAAGGGCCAGCACCAACGCTTGCCTCATCCAGCTTTGAGATAATAGGATCTTTAGGAGGAGGTGGTGGAGCGACAACTTGATCCTGGTGATGCTGTCGAGAGAGACCTTGAGCCGGCCTTCTCGGCTGCTTAGCTAAGAACACAGGTTCTTCTAATATAGTCGAAGGTAAGCCAGGAGGGCCATTCAACTTTGACTGACCATGGACTAGCCCTTTGCCTCGTGGTCTCACTACCATATTTCTGGTTCGCTGTGAAGAGAGGCTAGAGCCGCCGTCTGCGCCCATAGACGGCAAGCTTTCACCCTTCGAGCTCGGCGGCTTAGATCGAACTAATGATGGTTCAGCTCCGGCTTGTTTGGACGCTTCTAGGATGATAGGAGTATGATCATGTATCAATACCCCAGCTGTGGGCCATTGCGACGTATTCTCCATGTGGCGACGACCACTTCTCTGGGGCAAGGGGCGGTGAAATACAGGTGGCTTCGGTAGAGGTTTGTCGAGACTTGCTCTGGGCGGTCGTGTGTCGCCGCCGGTACCAGACGTCGACTGTGTAGGGTCTTTGGTAGGTGGCGAGGCGACGAATTCCCCCAGAACATCCCAATAGCCGGTTGGAGCAGGAGGTACGTGCGGCTTCACCGATCTGAGGCGGGCATACATTTGTGCATTAGACTTGTCCTCTTCATCTGGGGGGATAGGGGGAAGTGGTTGGTCTTGCTTCCGTGACCAAGGCAAGCGACTTTTTGTGGTCTTCTTTCCAACTGAAGCGATGTCCATTGGCTTCACGTTGGAGCGAGTGTTGCCAGATGCAACCTTGACCATTGCAGATGGAAGCGTGCGCTGGTCGCTTGATGCTTCACCACCAGAGACTGTCTCCTTGCTGTTTAGAGGCGAGCGATCTGAAAGAGGGGGCAGCTTGCTCTCATCAGCCACAGGCTTTTTCATCTTGTTTTGCTTCTTCTTTTTCTCCGGGGTCTGTTCTTCAGATGTGATAGCCAAGCCAGCTGCCTGGAATTCTGAGTGATACGGAAGGAATTCAATAACTGTGTGGACTGATGCACGGGATTCAGTGAGTGTAGGGGTTGAGATAGGTAACTTGCATTCGCCGCCCGTAGCCAGATAATATTTCTCTAATTGTCTTGTGAAGCGATCTAAGGACTTGCGCTGACTTGATGTTCGAGAGGGAGAGGCGAAAGGTTCAAGAGGGAACTCAGTTTGCTTTGGCGATGTGATGACCGAAGACAAGCGCTGCTGCTGCGATAAGCTTCTCCTGACAGACTCCCACGCCTCCGGGTCTGCGAGTCCCATGTGCTTCTCCCTTTTTGACTGTGAAGAGTCATGCTTTTGCTCACAGCCATCCCTGAGTGCAACGCCGTGTGGGTCCTTGGATTCATGACTGCCATCAACACATGGAATTGACGCGACACCATCACATCGATTCTCTGCCGGCTCAGGTGCTTGATAAGAATCTGAAACAGCCCCATCCAGTTGGCCGACGTGAGCATATTCAGGTTTTGTCTTGGCATGAGGCACTATGCATGAAATGTTAGGGTCTCGGTTAAGATTCTGGGCTGTAGAAAGAGATCTTACCAAGTCCTGATGGCATTGGAACTTGCATGAGCGAGTATCGAGAATCCTCTTCGTCGACTAGACGAGTGACCTTGGACATACGCATCAATGCAGGGTGATACTGCCTTGAATGGTGCGGGAAGGGGTTGACGGAGGGACCCAATTGTGGATAACGACCAGTGTCGAAGATGGGCGGTAGCTCGTTAGCAGCGGGAAGACCTTGTAAGCTCAGCCATTCCTCGGCTGGAGTTGACAACTTGCACCTTTGACTGGCTCGGCCAGAGGACTTATGCGAGGGTCTCTGATGGATAGAGGTCTTCGTGGCGGATCTCTGGAAAGACACCCTCACTTTGCTGTTTCTACTGGCGCGGCGTCGCCAGCCAAGAGCACGCTGCGCACGGCGGAGCTTGACAATGGCAGGGCTCGCTGTCTTCTCTTGGACTTTCCCAGTCCTGGGAGTGGACAGGTTCGGCGCGCTGTTGCTGACGAGTCCTCCAGGGACGAGTCTGATCTGCGGCCGACGGTGCGGACTTCTCTCCTTCTAAGATAAGTTGAATGTGGGCATCGTGCATATTCCAAAAAAGACCCTGGTTCCAAAAAAGCGAGCGAAAAAGGTACAAATGAGGCTGAGGGCGAAGTCGATGCCTAGGACGATGCAGAAAACAAGAGTCCCCAGGGCGAGGACACTCGGAGAAGACATTGTTGACTGTCAGGTGCCTGAGCCGGCGTACCAATAGCACCTTCCATGTCGAAGGATCTGAACAGTCCGAGGGACTGACACTGAGGATCGGGCCATTGCGGAAGGAGCAGGTGTCGACGCACGAGCGATTTACTGTTTATTTGATGTCTTTGATGCCAGGAGTCGAGTACACTTCAAGCTGGCGGCGACCCTTCCTCAGGAGGAATTCAATGGCTGCAAAGTCGCGCTTGTCGATGCTTACGCTCTTGTCGAATTCAGTTCTGCCAAGCATTGACCGTTAGATGTTATGGCCGCTGCAATATGAACTGAGCGAAACTCCTTGACGAGAGTTCAGTCTTACCTAGCAAAGGTCTCAAAGTGTGGCCGAGTTGCCTGTCACAATATAAGTCTCTCGGCACGTACTTCAGATTCAGATTGCGAAGCAGCTCACCTGTGGCTTTTTACGGCTTTCTCGGAGGCATTGACGATAGAGTGCAAGCACCTCTTTCTGGAGTCCGGACAACCGCGCCATTGTCGTTTTACTCTACAGTATAATACAGCTGCAGGTAACGCGAGTGGTTGTAAGTGTCAGTCGTGACAACTTGACAATACTGATTGGTTGAAGAATATGAACTTTTTTCTGATGACAAGCTCTCCGGCTATGCAAGCTCGCGTCAAAGCTCTGCCGAAATTAGTGCCGCCACAGGGGGGGTCATAAAGCCACGCCCCTAGCTAAGCTCCCTCCAGAGTTACTGGCGGAGCACCGCATCTGCGCAAATGATGCCGTTATCGTCCCCCGCATTCGGCGCAGGGGAGGCTTTTTTATCGCCGAAACAAACGGACTCGCCCGACGTGGGGCTCCTCAGTTGTCGAGGAAATGCGAAACTGAAAGCAGCGAGTCATTCTTTTGCTCAACTACCATCTTGATCGTCTAGAAGATCCAATTGACTTATCGAGATAAACCAATCGCAAGATGCCAGCCTTTTCGGTAAGCAGAAGTATCATCATCAAGGAGCATGCTGAGCACGGTACTGATCGGAGCTGATAGCGCCTTGTTCGGTTCCTGGCCAGGGACGGCCGTACCTACTACGGCGATGCCATCCTTCCCAAGGGTGTCACGGACATCTCAAAGGCCAAGCAGGCACGTGTCGTGACAGGAAGCATCTTCGGAAAGCATGAAGTCACAGATGAGATTGCCGACATCCGGCTACTGCTTGCGCCCCTTGCACCGGAGGATGTCCGGACGGTTCGCTGTCTCGGCCTGAACTATGCCCTGCATGCGAAAGAGGTGGGCCCAATCGATTTCGACTCCTGGGCTTCTGATTTAATATTGACATGCGCTAGTCGAATATGGCCATCCCGCAGTATCCAGTTCTCTTTGTAAGATGGCCTTTGCGTTTGCTTAATATCCCTGCTGACAGTTTCAGTACAAACCAATTACCTCGTTGGCCGGTCCCTCGGATCCCATTCCCGTTCATAAGCTAGCGCAGGAGGGTGCTGGCCTGGATTATGAGTGTGAGCTCGTAGCCATTATTGGAAAGCGGTGCTCTGATGTGCCAGAATCTGAGGCACTGAAATACGTTCTGGGGTACGCCGTTGGCAATGATGTTTCGCACCGTGACTGGCAGATCAAACGCGGAGGCGGCCAGTGGTCTCTTGGCAAGGGCTTCGACGGCTGGGCTCCGTTCGGCCCCGGTATCGTTAGCAGTTCGTTGATCAAGGACCCTCAGACCCTTCAGATCAGCACTAAGCTGAACGGCAAGACTATGCAGGTAGAAATCCTCCGTGCTGAAGCGCAGGCGTTGATATGTGTGCTAAAACATGTTATAGGACAGCAACACTGCGGACATGATCTTTAGCATTAAGAAGACCATCTCCTTCTTGAGCCAAGGCACCACCTTGCTGCCCGGCGATGTGATCTTCACTGGAACGTGAGTGTTCATTAGTCAAAGTCTAAAGGGAACTTAGTCGCTAATTGCTTCGGTAGCCCTTCCGGCGTCGGCATGGGCAGAAAGCCACAGCTCTGGCTCAAGGACGGTGACGTCGTCCAAGTCAGCCTCGAGGGAATAGGCAGCTGCACGAATAAGGTCGAGTTCGCATCTGGCAAGGAATCTAAACTCTGAATGATGTGTTGTAGCATCGAGCCGTGGACAATGTTTGGGCTCTCAGCCTACAGGAACAATTGATTCGGTATTCAGGGCATGTGCTCCAAGTGCTTGGGTTACCTACCCCTAACAAACAAACGAGAACTGCGGCTTATGCGGTAGTCTTAGACTGAAACATGGGTGTTTCACGAGAATTTACTGATGGAAACTTAGAGATATTTACAAAGATTTGAGTAGCATATTCGTACATTAGCCATCTACCTATCTAAAGCAGCTCATGAAACCCATCCCAATTGAGTAGTTCTATGGGATACGCTAGTTCTGCGGACATGTTCACTTCTCCTATGCCTGGAGAAGCATTTGCATAGGCCTGATCTTGGGAACCACTTGACACCGAGCTAGGATCTAGATCAACTGGAAAATCAGCATTGGCAGTTCTATATAGGTTTGATGTGGCCGTATGTAGGCTGTGAGAAGTCTGAGAGCCAATTAACTCGGGCTTTTGGGGTCTGCTTTCAGGCGAACCAGTCTCCGCCTCTTTATTGAGTTGGTGAAGTCGATTTCTCTGAGCTCCTTCAAGCAGACGGGATATCGGCTTCCAAAGTGGTTCTTGCCGTATGATGTCAGCGAGTGTGGTCATGTATCTCGTTAACCCTCTCCAGCCCTCTTCTGCCGACGATGTCCATTGAGTTACATAGAGCCGACTAAGTACGACAGCAAGCGCCTGCCATTCAACGAAGCCACTCAACTTCCACGTCCACCGCTTGTACGACAAGTCGGTTTTAAGCGCGTAAACGTCTTCGAGGATATTTAGAGCCCTTTGGTATGGCTCGTCTTCTCGTAAGCTAGTGCCAGGTGGTGACAAAATCGGCCGGGGCGCGGAGCTTAGGAAAAGCTCGTACCTCCGAGTGGCCACGTTCAATAGTCTGAGACACATCTGTCGAAGCAGTATGTCAGGCTGAAAACCTTGAGAGAAGAACTCGTCTGTAATACGCTTTTCAAACTCGTGTAGCAAGGTCGACCTCTTTAAGGTGCTCCAGTCATGGTTTTCGCGGTCTGCGGACAGTTTTGAGATCGCTTCTTTCACTGCTTTGCCTTGCCGCCATGTTGCTTTTTGGATAATGGTGAGACTTATGTCCGTGTATCCTACCCTGGGTTGTGGTGGCTCCGTCATTTCGGGCCATATGTCCGTGTCATTGATGTTCAGCGGGCCCTGCGTGTCGAACAGCGCTTCGTGCACTGACATTTCAGAGACCTGACGGTCCCCGGCACTGAAATCGAGGAAGCAAACGTGCCACCACACTCGACGCCGGATCTCAACTTCGAAAGGTGACATGCTAGTGAAGGCGGAGCCGTCACGATGGAGACCCAGAGATATTGCTAATCGAACGAGTAAGCCTGTCAAGCACCAGGTGTGTCTTGTGGTCTGAAATGGTCGAGTCGCGTAGAGATAGATGGTAATAGCTTGCAAGACCATGAGAGAAGTAGTATTAGTGAATTCCGCCCGAGAAAGAGCCTCTTCAGTCCCGACCTGGAAGCGTTGGACGAGATCTTCTTTTGGAACATTGAAGTTAATGCTTGCCTGCGTAAATTGATTAGCATTGCCGACCGTGTTTGATTATAAGCGGAAAGAGGGCATCTGGTCATGAAATGTAGTTACCTACATCATCATCGCTAAGCGACCTGATGGCAGCTAGGGATATACTGAACATCAAGACTTCCATGTGGAGATCCATATTTGCAAAGTTGCCCATGGCTTCTTGGACCGCCTTTGTCATGGTGGGCACATGCAGAACCTTTACGAATGGGTCAACGTTGTCAACATATATCTGCCATATAAATTGAGTTTGAGAAGGTAGCGGTCGTAAATTCTCTGAAGTGGAAAGACGACCCCTTGGGCTGCGCAAGAGGAAGGACGATGCCATTGGTGTAAAAGTTGATGAGAGACGGCGGCGATTTTCCGAAGGATTCATAAGATGAGTAATATCAGGAAGCTGTACGTCTGCTAACTCCCGTTCCTCTTCACTGTCTTCGGCTTCTATTCCTTCTAGACGTTCGCGAATGAGTCTGACCTGGTACGCCAGTAGCTATCAGCATTAACGACTCATCAAAAGTTGAAGGGAAAACGTACCTCCCATTGCAGCGTTGCCCAGAAGTAGTCACCAACATAAACCCTGCCTTGATCTTCCGGCAGTATCATGCCCTGATCATTGGTCTGGGGTAGTGGCTTCGAAAATTGGCCCTGGACATGGCTGGACGCCTCTCGTATAGAGCGCTGTGTGGTAGTCATCTTGAAGGACAATATCTTTCCATCGGGATCGAGCTTCTTTGCGGCCCGATCTGAGACTGAAGAATCGACTAGGCCTCCCTGGTTCTCTTCACTGGGCTTTGGCTTATTAGGATCGACTTCCATGACTAGTTCATCCACAACATTCTCCAGCCGGCGAATCCGCTCTATAAGCTGCGCCCGCTCCACGACCTTGCGGCGTTTGGTCCCTGGTTTCGGCTCGGGACGCCGCAAAGCACGCCCGGATACGGGAAATATGCATTGCCGGTTGTGTTCAGTGCAGGTCGAACAGGGCTGGCGACGGTCACAGCGGACCTTGCGCTGCTTGCACCCTAAGCAGTTGCGCGGCTGCTCTGCGGTGTCAGCGTAAGCGCCAGAAGTAGACATTGTCTGGATTCAACGATTCGCTACAAGTGCTTGTGTGGTGTTGTAGCAGCTGTTATCGAAGAACAGATCCCATGCCAGGCAAATTTCTACGCCGCAATTGCCGGATCACACCGGCGATGCAAGCGGCCCTGAGCATGGCTTTTGTGGACCGCCGAAGGACCGACGTTCCGATCTGCCCCACTTTTCCCACTGCCGTGGCACCGATTCTCCGTCTTTCGAATGAGCCCGCCCAATCTACGCGGGATCACGCCGCGCGATGTTACCCCGAATGATCCCAAGATGAATATCATTCCACGACGATCGCGGTGGGATCATACAGATTTATCATAGGTAATCAATGAGTCGAGATCATGATGAGGCATTCAACCCCGGGATTATTGCGGATACGCAGATGAAGACGGCGACTGACACTACACTGTCGAGAGGGAGTAGATAACCCGGAGCATTGGAGACATGTCTTGAAACTCGCAGGGGACCGGAGTTACCGGAGGCATGCAACATGGCAATGCCGCATCCCAGGGCACCGGCCCAAGACGCAGCTTCCGAAATTGCTTGTACCGGGCGGCCTGCTGCTTAAGTCCGCCTACCAACAATGTATTGAGGAGTTTGATCACATACCCTATTTAAAAGGACGAAAACGACGCGCTTCCTTTCCATTGTGCTTTGCTCACCCTAACTTCAATCCACCGTGCTGTTGTAGTCAGGCTTCGCGACCATGGCATCCGAGTCTAACATCACCTCAGAAGCACTCAGTGATAATGACAAGTCGTCCACTACAGCTATGGAGAGAGATGCTCATGATGCATCTCCCACGGACAGTTCAGCGAATGGGGATCGTGATGTAGAGAAGGCGGCAACTACGATGGCACAAGGCGCCGCTGGCGGCGGTCTACAATGGGATGGACCAGACGATCCGGACAACCCACTGAATTGGTCCGCCAGTATGCGTAACGGCCAAGTAATCCTCATCGCCTCACTGCTGCTCCTCGTGTTAGTACCATCATATCCCTCAAACACCCACCCCTCACACATGAGCTGACATGAATGGTATAGCAATCTCTCAGCAACGATGTATGCCCCGGGAGCTGGCTTCGTTATGGAAGATTTCCACTTCACAAGTCATGTTGTTGCCTCTCTCACCATCTCTCTTTTCGTGCTCGGCTTCGCGTTTGGCCCTCTCATCTGGGCGCCCCTTTCAGAGCTCTACGGTCGTCTGCCCATTTACAGCATCTCTACCACTATGTTCTTGGCATTCCTCCTCGGGAGCGCCTTTGCGACGAATGTGGGCGCATTTATGGCCTTCCGGTTCATCAGCGGATGTTGTGGCGCTGCCGGTCTGGCCATGAGTGGAGGTACGCTGGCGGATGTCATCCCAGTGAGCCAGAGAGGCAAATGGATGGCTCTCTTGGTGATGGGGCCCCTAGTAGGACCAACGATTGGACCCATCATGGGCGGCTTCATTGCGGAGAGGGCCGGTTGGCGATGGGTGTTCCGCATCCTCTCCATTGCGGTAGGTTCTAATTTATACACCACTACGGTTGTGAGGCAGCGACTAAATTATCCTAGACTGGCATTTTCATGCTCGTGGGTGTCGTGTTTCTCCGCGAGACCTACGGCCCAGTCATTCTCCGCCGGAGGGAGGCCCGGCGCTGCAAGGAGAGAGGCGAAGACAATGTAAATGCGGTACCGGCCGTGAAGTTCAAGTTTGACCGGAGCATTCTGCGTCCACTGAAGCTACTCTTCCTTTCTCCCATTGTCTTCGCAATCTCGATATACGCTGCATACTGTTTCGGCCTGCTGTTTCTCCTCTTCACTACCTTCTCCACGGTCTTCATGGGGCAGTACGGGTGGTCTGTGGAGATGTCCGGTTTGTCGTATATTGGTATGGGACTGGGCATGTTCAGCGCTGTTGTTATACAGGCATTGGTGGGCGACAAGATGATGAAGTGGCTAGAGACTAGGAACGGCCGGTCCAAGCCTGAGGACCGGCTACCGCTCATGGCCGCTTTTGCGCCAACTATTCCAATCGGGATGTTCTGGTATGGATGGGCGGCCGACAAGCAGACTCACTGGATCGTGCCCATCATTGGCACTTTCAACATAGGTATTGGCTTTGTCTTCACCTTGGTAAGCTATCTGTTGGTCCTCGACACGTAAGGATACGAAACTAAATCCGTTTCCCTGTAGATGCCGTCAATGGTGTACCTTGTTGACTGCTTTGGCGCTGAGGCTGCGGCATCCGCCCTGGCCGCAAACACTCTCCTCCGGTCTATTGGCGGTGCCTTCTTGCCCTTGGCTGGACCACCTCTATACAACTCGCTTGGTCTCGGATGGGGCAATAGCTTATTGGGATTTCTGGCAGTGGCCATGCTGCCTATTCCGTGGGTCTTCTTCCTCTATGGAGAGAAGATCAGACTGAGTCGCAAAGTCAAGCTGTGATCGATTGGCCTCTGACATCGAATCAGTCAAAAATGATCACATCTGATTTATCGTTAGGAGGATAGGTGTGATAAGCTGAGAGATTGTTGGTGAGTTATATTTCCAATATCATCAACCGACACATAGACCTGGAAGCGTATGGATCTTGTACATGTCACCTAGTTTGCAGCAGGGAATTGAGTATCTTGTAATTTTTAACCTATAAACGCGCGTTTAATACATGAATTTACCTTCAGACTTCGTTTATTCACAGCGCCCGCAATCTGCTTCGAGTTTCCAGGTTGATAGCAAAGCAAGAGTGTGGCGCTGGCAGGCTGAAAAAGCACCCGTATCGCTAGACGCCTTGGCCTCATTTAGTGACCGACTGCCACAACCATAGGAGCAGTTTGCCTGCACCCACGTGGGCTCAATCTCGGTGTCTAAAGGGTCATCTTCACAACACACTCTACCATGCTAAATCAACTCCGCCTCCCGGCCCCTCGCTTGAGGCATACTCATGCAGTGCAGTGACTACTTCACCCGACAGTCTGCCCAGCTGTCTAGTGGTGCGTTTTCAACGAGCGAGCTAGCGCATTGTGCAGCTTCGTTACGGTAAGATGATGCCAATCCAGCTTCGGCGTCTCCTGCGTGACTCCTTCCCTAAAAGAGCGTGATGGTTCATATAACAACACGATTGCTGCTTCCCCTGACAGTCAAGGCCGGCAACCTTACGTTTCTAGCCAAAAGATCAAGCAGCGCAATCAACTCTTGTTTGGAATATCTCTTCACAACATGTTATAACTCTTCTACGATGGACCTGCTATTGCCCTAGCTAACTCTTCCATTCTTTTTGATTCGACGATATGTTCTACTTTGTATTCTAAGCAATGTTAGCAAGAACACATGATTATACGTCTACCCAGGTATCCCGTCCGGTGCTGACAAAGACCGACCAAGGGCATCCACTGGCGAGTGGCGCGATGAGCGCGACCACTTCCATCCCTATAGTCAATGTAACTAGCGTTGCACCCTCACTCCATAGATCACCCTCCCATGACACAATATACGGCACAAGCCCTACGTCGCGGGACGTAAAAGGGAAAGGAAAGGCACCAGCAGTCGGCGAGGGGTCTGATCACACCAGACGGCAGCTAGCACACTCGGACAGCGACAGGCCAGCCACGAGACCGACGTCTCCCTTCGAAGTGGTCGAGCAAGATCGTGTGGCTGAGATAGGTGCTTATGAGCCTCCAGAAGCGTTAAGGAGGCTCCCAAATGTAAACTCTGAGATCATCTCCAGTGTCGTCAAGTCTTCAATCGACAACGTCAAGGCGCAGGTTTTGGCGGAGGAGGAGCAACGACGCCAGCAGCATGAGGAAGACGAGAGACGGAGGGCCGAAGAGGCGGAAAAGGCTGAGCAAGAGGCCAAGGCAAATAAGGAGCAACTTTTGGCTTCAGCGACGATTCAAAATGCCCAAGAAGAGGCCGCCGTCGAGCAGCCCATTGAGAGCAATGACTCCCTCGCAGCATCTGCATCAACTGTTATTGATGGCTCCGACAAAAGTGGCGGTAGACCATTCATATTGAAGCGTCTATTCCGTCGACGGGGCATCGAAACCAGTTCTCAGGGGGTCGCCGCCAGCAGCACCGGACCCTTAGCCAGCGGCAGCAAAGAAGGCCAACATCTAGTTATGCTGAGAGAGAGGCTGCACTCATTGCAGGAACACGACGAGACAATGTAAGTACATGAGGTTGCTCATATTGTGTCTTCCAACTCCATGCTGAGAAGATGTAGCGAGTGCATATCATGTTTTGAGGACTTCCAACCCAAGGAAGTTATCAAGACTACCTGCCACAGCTACTGCAAAGATTGCTTCGAACGTCTCGTTGCCAATGCTGTCGAAAATGAGGCTCAGTGGCCACCGAAATGCTGTCTTAATGAGATACCTACGAAGACCGTCCTCAAGCATGTCTCTGGTGAGCTCAAGAAGAAGTATGAGAAGTGTCGAGAAGAGTTCTCCATCCCAGTTGATGAGAGAATCTATTGTGCACAACCAGATTGCAGCATGTTTATCAAAAAGTCACAGATGCAGAAGCAGTTTCGTAAAGCCCGGTGCAGCAAAGGTCACTTCACCTGCTTGGAGTGCAGGCAATTAGCACATCCGGATGTGATGGACTGCCCCAACAACGCCGACATGGCGGCATTACAGCGCATTGCACGCCAAGAGGGTTGGAAGCGCTGTTATCGCTGCAAGATGCTGGTGGAACATAAGGAAGCTTGCCAGCATATGACATGTCGCTGCGGCGCCGAGTTCTGCTACGTATGCGGTCAGATCTGGCGGTCCTGTAGCTGCACGATGGAGCAGCTGGCTGTTATCAAAGCAATCGCCGAGCGCCGAGCCAGACAACGACTGGAGGCGCAAGAGCGAGAGCTCAGGGAAGCACGAGAGTTGGAGGAAGCGCTGCAGCAGATCGCGGAACTGGAGAAGGAGGAAGAGCGCAAGAAGGAATTAGCACGACAGGAGCGGGAGCGCAGGTACAAGGAGTTTGTGGGACGGAAATACCTTGAGCTCAGAGACACCCTCGAGGAGCTCAACAGCCTTCAGAAGATCATGCTTCAATATCAGCACGACCGCGAGCGTGATCTCCTCAACGTTCGCGCACAGGAGGCTAAAGATGGTCTACAGAAGAAGCAATATGCGCAACGACAAGAGCTGGAGACTATCACACATTCGAAAATTACAGAAAAGGAACTGAAGTGGGAGCGTAGCTATCATGCTCGCGTTGTCTTCGAACGAAAATTAGAGGCGGAGTACAGAAAGGAACTCGAAGAATACTGGGCTGAGAAAGAAGACGGTGCGCAACAAATTGAGACCGCGATGCGCGCATATATGAAGAAGAACGACAAACGGTATCATGCGTGGAAGAAATGGCGCGACGAAGAAATAGAGAAGTATCGATTCACAGTCGAGGAGGAGCAGGCTATCAGGGAAGAGCTCATGGACCACAAGATGCACTGCCTGGAGGAGTCCTTCAAGATCCAGGTTGCAGAGTTCAAGCTGAAAGAGAAGGCAGAGCTTCTCTGGTTTGATCTCGTTATAGACGAGAGGACTCGCATGATTAAGGAGCTCGAAGAGGTCGAGAGAGAGGCCGGTGCTGGTGACGATTTCGACATCGAGGCCCATCCAGGACTTCCACTGAATGGAGATGAAGCTGGACCATCACATACACGCTGGGGGGCTATACAAGAGCCAAAAAGGAAGGCACCGGCGCCTCCTACAAAGATTGAGAAAAGCGACAGTGAGATCACAAAATCTGGTGGGAATGAGACCTAAATTAACAGCAAATCAGAGCCCAATACTGTGCGTGTGAGGCTGCAAGGCGCACTATTTCAGGCAAGCCTCCTAGAGGGCGCGAGGCAGAGATGACATCCTTGTAAAATTATTATTTTGGATATACCGTTGGCTAGCACTTCGTCAATAATAAGACGAGCTACTACCATATTCATTTCGGGTTCCTGGATAGGCCCCAACAGGTGTTGGGTCTTCAACTAGTGTCTCTTCATCGGAACTCCTAGCCTCATCATAATCGTCACTCCTGTCAGGAGGTGCACGCATCGCTTCCAGGATACGCGCATCCAACACTGGAACTTCGTAGGGCTTCAATGAGTGAATCTCCCTGCCAGATGGCATCTGTGCCAGCAATGGCCCCGTCCCAGAAATTGTCTGTGTAAACATCTGTTGTCTTGCATTAGTTTTGCCCCTTTCCACACTGCCTTACACAAGAACAACATACCGTATCATTTTGCTTGGTCCATTTCGCCTCGAGAAACTCGATGACCCGTGTCTCCTCCATCTTGCCGCCATCAGCGCCCCAGCTCGCCCCCTTTTCCACCTTCTTGTCTTCCCTCTTCTCTGACCACTCTTTCTTGAAGCGACTAAAGCCGGAGCTCTTCTTACCTTCTGCCCGCACTTCGACCCCTAGCTCCTGAAGTCCAGCATGCAGCCAGCCGATGGCAGCGCCTGTCTGCCCACCCAATTCTGCGTCAATGCCAAAGAACCGGCACGCCTTGGCGCGGCTTGTTCGCCGCAGATCCTCCAGATAGCGCACGAACCCGTCATTAAGCCGTTGCCTGCCAGCCGCCGCAGTGGCGCATAGCGAGTGTGCCTTTGCGGCATGCTCTGATGCAGCGAGACATAGGCGCGCGAACAGATGCGCCCGCACCTTGGGGATGTCGGGCGCCTTGTACATCCACTCGCGGTCATTGGAGTTGCGGTCCTGCGCCACTACCGCCGGATAGGGGTCGTCTTTGAGCACGGCCAGCAGGGTGGCTTCCGCAAGAGCGAGTGCGCTCTGGCCCCGAAGCGTCGCTGCCGCGATGTCTGGTGCCGGCACCGGGGGGGTGCCGGGGCCGAGGTGGTCGGCGCGCGTGGCCAGGTAGTCATACACGGAGGCCGCATCGAGTAGGTGCCTAGTCGCGCCGGCGATGGCAGTCTGCCTCTCTGTGCTCCCGATCGGGGCTGTGGTGGTCAGGTACAGCGGCTGCAGGGCCACCCGGGCCATGAGCGTGTGCGCATTGGCGAGCGTGCTGAGCGCGAAGAAGACCTCATGCTCGAGCGTCTGGAGCTTGACCCGCGCGTTCTCCTTACCGGGTATAGCTGCAGAGAGGGCGGGCCGCCATTCGAGCTTCAGCGGGGCTTTGAGGCGAACACTGATGTCCTCGCCATGGATAGTCAGGCGGTTGAGGCCAGCATCGACGGCGAACAGATACGGGAGGTAGCTGTTGACGCTCTGGACCAGAGTGGAGAGATTGGGCGCCTGGGACTGTGGAGGGAGGCGCTTGTGCTTCTTGAGTGTGTCGCGCACTACCCCGCGATAGGTGCTGGCATTGAGGGGCAGGGAGGGGTGCGAGTCGCAGCTGAAGCTTGACGAGAAGGAGAAGGCCGAGGTTGTAGGCAGCACGAAGGGAAATGGCATCTTAGAGAGGCTGTGGACTGACCATGTCGAGGATGACTTATGACTGAGAATCTAGACAGAAGCAAGTTACAATCAGAAACTCTAGAAATGCCCTGTGAGGAGGGGCATTCTAGGGAAGCTTGGCATCACGGGCAGGCGGCTCAAAGCTTCGATTTGCGCAGGCATGTTTCAAGCGGCATTCAATGACACGACCTGTGGATTGTACCTAGGTAAGGCTGTCAAGCCTCTGTAACCCAGGCGCATCTCAGGCGGCTGGGCTGTTCTAGCTCCCTGACATCACTGTCCCAAGTGCCTGTAGAACCCTGTCGTGGTGGGGCCCTTCTGCTAGGATAGCTGCAAGCAGCCACCCAATCGGGCGCCGTCACTTCCGATCCGAGACACGTCTGCCAATTTATTTTGGTGCTCCCATCAGAAGCTCGATCGTTGCTGTCCCTCCACATGCGCAAGGCAGATTGTTATCTGTTGATGTCAAGCTTTCCTTTTGTCGCGGTACTTTGCTAATTGGCGTCGCCTAGAAACAGCATTTCAATGCTGAAAGCTTGCATCTCCGGCCTTCCGTCGCGTCGCATCGATAATCATGGCTGGCCCACGTCCTTCATCCCATAAGCCCCGGAGCAAAGCCAAGAAGAACGGCGGCGATGGCGGCAGTCTTGTGGTCACCAAGAACGAGGGCCTGGTGAGGACCCCAACCTTCCCACTTGCTGCGTTTCTCTGGCCAGCTAGGGGCTCTGTATCCCAATGGGAGGTGCTGCCATTGGTCTTGATGGTTGTCGGCCTGTTCAGATGGGCAGCTGGACTATGGGGCTATTCAGGTAAGGCCATCTGAAGAGCAATGCGCCATTGAGGCAAAGGAAAAGCTAACCTCGTTCTAGGCTTCCAAAAGCCCCCCATGTTCGGAGACTACGAGGCGCAGAGACATTGGATGGAAGTCACCACGCAGCTCCCCGTCTCTCAATGGTACTTCTACGATCTACAATGGTGGGGGCTCGACTACCCACCCTTGACGGCATATCATAGCTGGGTTTGTGGAAAGATCGGGTCGTTTATTGATCCGTCTTGGTTCGCTCTGTATACATCCAGAGGCTCTGCGGATACAAACTTGAAGATCTTCATGAGGGCGACGGTTATTGTCTCGGAATACCTCATCTACATCCCGGCCGTTGTGGTGTTCGTACGGCATTTCAGCAGACTGAATGGTGTCGGCACTTGGACTGCCTCAGTTGCACTTGTTGCTATTCTCATGCAACCTGGTATCATCCTCATCGATCATATCCACTTCCAATACAACACGGTCATGCTAGGGTTTGTGGTCGCGACTTTCAACAGCATCCTCGCAAATCGATTTCTCTGGGCGGCGTTCTTCTTTGTGGCTGCTCTTGGGTTCAAGCAGATGGCCCTTTACTACGCCTTCTCTGCCTTTGCGTTTCTGCTGGGCAGCTGTATCTTCCCTCGCGTCAACATTCGTCGCTTCTTGGGAATTGCAGTAGTGACCGTCATTTCATTTGTTCTTCTGATTCTCCCGCTTGTCGCCGGCTCTCTGTACGATCGAAGCCGTGGCATTGACTCGAGACCGGATATTGATGGTCCTCCCGCACCACTGCCCATCTTCCTGTGGCTCCAGGATTATCTCGACACCGGAGCTATATACTACCCAGTCGTCCAGCAGCTGGTCCAGATGGTTCACCGTGTCTTCCCGTTCGCACGAGGCTTGTTCGAAGACAAGGTCGCTAATTTCTGGTGTGCTATCAATGTCGTCGTCAAGTTACGGCAGTATCCCGTAGAGCTTCTTCAGAAAGCGGCTCTCGTAGCCACACTCGCATCTATCATCCCGCCGAATATCATTTTATTCTTCAAGCCGAAGAAAGAGCTTCTTCCGGTAGCATTTGCGACGACAGCCTGGGGTTTCTTCCTTTTCAGCTGGCAAGTTCACGAAAAGAGCGTCTTGTTACCCCTGATGCCAATGACACTCCTATTAGCGGGCAGTCAAGGCCTCGGATCGGATACAAGAGCGTGGGTCGGATTTGCAAATTTGCTCGGGTGCTGGACAATGTTTCCACTCCTGGCACGCGTTGATCTTCGTGTTCCCTATACTGTCCTCAGCTTACTGTGGGCATACCTGCTAGGTCTGCCACCCACGTCCCTGAGCGCCTACTTTCAGGGAGGGTCAAGTCTTTTCGCGCAGTGGGCAACTTTCTTCGTGCATGGCAGCTTCTACCTAGCTATAGCTGCATGGCATATACTTGAAGCCTTCCTCACACCGCCACCTGACAAGCCAGATCTATGGGTTGTCATCAACGTTGGATTAGGAGCGGCTGGGTTCGCACTCTGCTACCTCTGGTGCCTGTCGAAGCTGGTCGTGCAAAGTGAGATCATCCCGCGCTCATGGTACACATCAAAGAAGGGAAAGGCGAAAATTCAATGATTGAGAGAGGGCAACACAGCTCAGGACAATTTTCGAGATGAGGTGATAATGTTTACTATGTGTATAAAACTTGTACATACGGCTCAACTTGGAGTAGATTCTATTAGATACCCTCTGGTGCGGTTTCTGTACAACCGGTCGGTTGCAATGCGAAAAGAATTATCCCAAAATACTTCGTCCGGATTGCTTATGCACAATGAGGCGCTGGTCTTCAATGCTCAAGCACTAATTACACCTCACGTAATCTTACTTCCACCAACTCATTCGCAAATCGGGTCTCTTATCTTTCTCTATGTATCGCTATGCAATCAATGAGCTGGCAAAATAGCAGCAATGGTCTCATCCCGTGCCTTCTTCAGGAAAGGCATCAAAGCTGTGCCTCCAGTTCCAGTGAGCTTGTTCGCCCCGTTCCCCTGCCCTTCTTGGGATATGCTGCTCGAGACGCCGGCAAGGTTCTTGACTCCACTCGAGTTCGGTTTCCTGCTTGGTAGGACGATATATCGCGTCACGATCCCCAAGTGCGCGTTGCGCAGCTCCGTCATGGCATCGATCGCGGTCTTGTAAGCCTCGCTGCACCTTCTCTGCTCCTCACTATCGCCCTCCTGCAGGGCGAACGTCCGCAGGCTCCCCATGCGGCTGACTGCCTGCAGGAACCTCATGTGCGGACCGGGCATGTAGGTCCGCACCTCCTCGTGGAAGCTCGGCGTCTGCTTCTCGCCCGGAGCGGGCGCGTGCGGCGAGCTGTGGCGGTCGGCGGTGTGTTCCACCCCCAAGACAATATCCAGGAACTGGATCAGGCTGCTCTGGCCATTGCTGCCGCCTCTCCACTGCTGCCACTCGCCGCGGCCGTCGCCTTCGTCATAAAACACCCCGCGCGGCAGCCCTGCATGGCCCATGTTCTTGCTGCCAGCGAGGAAGGGGCGGATGTCATGGTAGAACACGTTGGGGTCGCAGCGCTCGTGCATCCGCTCCAGCATTGCCTTGAGGCTGCGGATGCAGCTGGTTACTGACTCAAACGCGGTTGTGATGGCTGCGTAGTCGTGGACGTGGATCGCTTTCATGGCCCGGAGCACGGTCGGTATCACTGGGCCGCCGAGGGCTTCCATCGCCACGGAGACCATGTAGAACCACGACTCGGACTCGGTGCCAGTAAATGTGAACTGCGCTGTCAGAGAGTCTAGGTCGCTTGGCGAAGCCCCTGAGGAAGTCACATCGTAGTTCCAGAGGTTCAGAGCGGCGTACGTGGCGACAGGGGGGAGCTCAAGGCGGCGAGATGCAGCCAGGAGGGGAATGGATAACGCTGGCGGAAGCACCTGGATACCTGTATCAGCATTGATTCGCACGCTCGAAGCTCGGGGTGCTCACTTCTTCTGGAGAATCGCCGCCCCATATATAAGCATGAGCTAGAAAGGCGAGGATGGAATATGCTCGTCGCCATTCCAACTCGCTTCTTAGATGGTCTACGGAGATGATGGGAAGCTGCAAGACCTGATTTCGCAAACACCTAGTCCTGAGAAGTTGTGGTAGTTGAGCTATTATTTGCTCCCAGGGCTCGTAAGATGGATGCGTCAGAAATTTGAGCGGAGCTTTTGAAGGTAGGAAAGCATTGTTGGAGACGTGAAAGGTCCTGAGAAGATCTTCCTCTTCTAGCAGAACAGCAGTCGTTGGAAGGATAGCGTGAGGCGACATAAGTGTTCTTTGATAAACGCCACTAGGGGTATCCAGGGGTATCTCGGTACAATTTGCGTAAGGTAGGTGATGATCAATAAGATATGGTGTCTAATCCGTAAATAAGTGTAAGATGTGGGAAAGTAAGTTGTACCTATCCTCCGTCTGTTTGATGAAATTGTGCCCATGATGTTATAATCCGAGGTCTCAAGGGAGGTGAATCCCAGTCCATGTTCTTAACTCTATTACTGACCATCTCCCGGGCGGTTCCTTGGAATTCCCCGGCGTTCAACACCATTCCCGTACGATTTTCCAAGAAAGAACAGTCTTATTAGTGAGTGGATCTCGTCTAGTCTCGGTTATTACAGGGCCGTTCACGTTCTTCATTGCATCCGCGCCGACGTCAGACCCAGGTGGCGGGCCATCCTGCTGAAGCTGATGTGCATGTTGCGGAAACGGAAGATCGGAGGTGAAGGTGGGTCTCGGAATCGGAAGTGCGGTTCAAAATTTTGTACGGAAAGCAGAAAGGTGCCCCGCCGAGCACCGCACCGTCAAGCCGGGCCACAGCACATGGACTCACTATAAGGTATTCGATGTGATGCACACCTAGGAAGGGGGGGTAAGCAAACCCCCTTTTCTAAGCAATTGTACTTCTAGAGTAGGACTCCCAGCCAAAATGGACTTCAAAGCGCTTCTAAAGGCCGTCCAATCCAGCGGCACCGCCACGTTCCCTGCAAAAGCCAGCTCTGCTGAATACGCTCGATCGTTAGATGCACAAAACCCTTTGCGATCACTTCGCAATGAATTCATTTTTCCGACTAAAGATTCGTTAAAAAGCGTTTTGGCGAGCAAGCTCACAAGTACGTCATGACCCCTAATTGTCATAACCCTAACCCTCGTATCCTTGCTTCCCCCTTTTTATAGCCACCTACTGATGACCATTAGACGGAGCAACCGAGAACTCCAATGGAATTGAAGAGACACAAGCAAGCGACAATTGCGAAGCTGTCGTATATTTCTGCGGCAATTCGTTGGGCTTACAACCCAAGGCCGTCCAGTCATCTATCAATACGCAACTTTCGACATGGGCTAACATTGGGGTCTATGGGCACTTCAATGCCGTGCCAAACTCCTCATTAGCCCCATGGCAAGATATGGCTGAACAATGTGCGATCAAGATGGCACCCATCGTTGGCGCTCAACCAGCTGAAGTGGCCATCATGAACACGCTAACCGCCAATCTTCACCTTCTCATGGCGAGCTTCTACACGCCGGATGCTAAGCGACACAAGATCATTCTGGAGTGGAAGCCATTCCCTAGTGATTACTACGCGATCGAGTCACAAATCCGCATGCATGGTCTCGATCCAGCCAAGTCAATGGTTGAGATCTACCCAGATGAGTACCAGCAGGGAGGACACTATATATCGACCTCTCACATCCTGGCAACCATCGACGAGCATGCAGATGATACTGCCCTGATACTCCTACCAGGCTTGCAGTACTACAGCGGGCAGGTGTTTGATATGCCTACCATTACCAACTATGCCCAGGACCGCGGCATCGTCGTTGGCTGGGATCTTGCGCACGCTGCTGGAAATGTGCCAGTACAACTCCACGACTGGAATGTGGACTTCGCCATGTGGTGTACGTACAAGTACCTGAATGCCGGACCAGGCGCTATTGCCGGTGCGTTTGTCCACGAGAAACATGGTGGCATCAAGACGAACGAGGCCGGCAAGCTGGAGTTTCGAAATCGACTATCGGGATGGTACGGTGCGGACAAGAGCGTGAGGTTCGAGATGTCCAAGACGTTTCAGCCAATTGTCGGTGCTGGAGGGTTCCAACTGAGCAACCCCAGTGCTATAGACCTAGCAAGTCTCCATGGTGCACTAGAAACATTCAGCAAAGTGACGATCCAAGAGTTGAGGGAGAAGAGTCTGGTGCTCACTGCATACGCCGAGTGGTTGCTTGACGAGATTGTGAAAGAAGATAGTAACGGCAAGAAGGAGTCAGATCCAGCATTCACCATAATTACGCCACGAAATCCGAAAGAGCGCGGCGCGCAGTTGAGTATTTTGCTGAGAAAGGGTCTGCTGGAGAAAGTTAGCAAGGCCTTTGAGGAGGCAGGAATAGTCTGTGATCAAAGAAAGCCTGATGTGATTCGTGTTGCACCAGTCCCTATCTACAACAGCTTTGAAGATGTTTGGAAGTGCTTAAACACTCTACGAAAGGTTATCCTGGACAAGATGAAGTATAGATAAAAGTAGACATTCAGGCCATTTCAGGATAGATTCACTTTTGTATTTAAAAAGAGGTTCAAAGAAGCATTCCAAAAGGTTACCAAGCGCTTTTAATGTTTGATATACTATGCTATGGTCTGATTCCCCTCTCCGGTGTTGGTCAATATGTGTAGACAACTTATTCTGCGTTGATTACCTCATTAACAAACGTTGCTTATCCAACCGACATATGCTGCTTGTCCGATTAATTGGCGTTACTTACCCAATCGACAGGGAGATGGTCATTCATTATATCGTAGTATAGACCTTTCTTGACGAGATGTATAGTGTAGGTGTAGGATGAATACGGATGAACGAATGCCTTCCTGGCTCGCTGACTCGTCGGTCTCTTTGTTAGAACACATTCAATTGTCTGTGGCTACCAACAACTTCAGAGCTTGAGGTGCCACCTTTGCTAATTTTTCCTATCTCACGAACCGCGTCGCTGTGTTCGTGCTATTTCCGCAAAGCCATTTCCGCAAATCTGTTCTGGTGACCACTTTTCGACCGGAACTTTCTTCAATTCAAGGAGATAGGAGGGTACCGGAGCGGAGGCAAATCCGTCGGATACGGCTGAGTGGAGCTGATGGTGCCGCTAGGGAACATAGCCAGGCATTACTACGGACCCTGGCGTTACATGTGAATGGTCATGTTAGTGTTAGTGCAACAACATTGGCTGACTTGACAAGATGCAAACTTATCCATGAACCCGTGGAGTGGTAAATCATTGAAAGACTGAAATGTGAATTCTGTCCATCCTTTGTCGAATGCCATCCAGTTACTGTACGAAATTTACTCCGAATTACGCAGAAGAAATCAGTGCTTCATCAGTATCACCTCCGTATCATGGGCGATGACAATAGCGACTTTGTTAACGGGGCAATGTTGCTCCCACGGCCAGCTGAACGAGTTGCTCAGCAGCCTCCAGACGTTTGGTGAGACGATTACCCTTTCAACGTAATGGAGCCATTGAACTAATAGCAATGTTAGGTCGATCGTGAACGACGCAGCTGCAAATTCACCTGTAAGTACTGGAAGCAATATACACTATATCACACAGCGTCTTGACATCCTTATGCTTGCTCCAAGATAAAACCTGTAGTGAATATGGGACAGGGATTCTTGTAAGTTACCTCAAGACAGAAGTCGGTCAAGCTTACTGATTCTGTTTTCTCTGGGCATAATACTTATGGAGAATCTCGATAGTGGTTATAATCCGCCGGATTTCATCCTTGACGCTGCAAAGAAAGCACTCGATAGAGTAGACGCAAATCAATACTCTCCAACCAAAGGACGTGCAAGCTTGAAGAAGGCGCTTGCATCTCACTATTCCAACACCCTTGGACATGAACTTAACCCCGAAACGGAAGTGACGATCACGACCGGCGCAAATGAGGGTATTTTGAGTGCATTCATGGCATTCGTAGAGGAAGGAGATGAAGTCATAGTCTTCGAACCATTTTTCGATCAATACATCAGCAATATTCAGATGGCAGGCGGAGTTGTCCGTTATGTTCCTATGATCCCACCGGCAAGCGGAGACACGACTACCACATCATCGGGAGACTGGTTAGTAGACATGGACAAGTTGAGAGCAACATTCACATCAAAAACACGGATGTTGGTATTGAACTCGCCTCACAATCCTGTGGGAAAGGTCTTTTCTGTGGAGGAGCTGAGTGAAATCGGAGAGTTGTGTGTTAAGCACCGTATGATCATCATATCAGACGACGTATACGACAGTCTGACTTATGTGCCGTCCAAGCGCATGGCCACACTCTCACCAGCCATCTGGGATTTGACTCTTACGGTTGGCTCCTGTGGCAAGACTTTCTACGCTACTGGCTGGCGAGTTGGATTTCTTATCGGGCCTGAGCATCTAATCAAATACGTCAGCGCCGCGCACATGCGAATCTGCTATTCTAGCCCCAGTCCTTTGCAGGAGGCATGCGCATCTGGATATGAGCTTGCGAACAACTTCGGCTTCTGGCAAAAGTCACAGGAAGATATGAAGGGCAAGATAAGGCGGTTCACACAAGTGCTCGATGAGCTGGGGTTGCCCTATACCGATCCACAGGGAGGATACTTTGTTTTGGTCAACTTCTCGAAGGTCAAGTTTCCAGAAGACTACCGCTTCCCTGCTCACATTGAATCGCGCCCGAGAGACTTCAAATTGTGTTGGTTTCTCATCGTCGAATTCGGTCTGGCTGCTATCCCACCAAGCGAGTTCTATTTGGCCGAGAATTCTCACGTGGCCGAGAACTACTTACGCTTCGCTATTTGCAAGGAAGACCATATCTTAGAAGACGCAAAGGACAGACTTAGGCAGTTGAAGAAGTACATCCTATAAGGCGGATTGGTCAATTCACTTCTTGTGTAGGCAAACGCAGCGACATTTGTACAATCTACAATTACATGTGAAACAAATGACCTTCCAAGACCACTATCAACGAGTCAAACAATTATAAAATAACTAGATTCCGATTACCTCTCTTTTTTGAACCCTTCAACTCTGTCTGCTGCGACGGCATGCGAGCCTTGGGGTAGGTCGAAAATTTTCCCTGGGTTCAGTATCCATCTATTCTCAAATTAGCACATCCCGGGACCAGTATCAAAGGATGAAGGGCTAATACTTAGGATCTAATGCCTGTTTCAAAAGCCTCATGATATCTATCGTGTTCACACCGAGCTCATCGATGAGGCATTCCTTTGAAATTTGGTAATTAGGTAACTGGGATCTCGAATGGAGAACGGAAATCAACGGGAGACAGTTCAACTTACCATTTTCCCCATGCCAATGGCATGCTCGCCAGAGACCGTACCCTCCATCTCCAGTGCCCGGTCCATCATACGGTGGACAATCTCCTTTAGGATTGCAGTATGTGTCCGGTTTTTCGGATCGTACATTAAAGCCTCGTGAAAGTTGCCATCCCCTACGTGCCCTACGACGCTTGCGAAGCCCAATTTCTCCCCGTCAGCTTTCGACAGTTCAATGATTTCCGCCAGACGCGAGATAGGCACTGCGACATCCGTAGACCAGATCGAATATCCTTCGGGCTTGATAGAGGTCATTGTCCAAAGAGCCTCTTTTCTTGCGGCCCAGAGGTCTTTTTCTTCTTGTTTGTTCTTCGCGAAGACATATCTGGTTGGGTGATATGGCTCCAGTAGTTTTCTGACAAGAGATATGTCACCTTGGAGATGCTCTTTCGTAGGGCCGGAGAATTTGAGGAAGAGCGTTGCTGTCTCATCCCACTTGTTTCTGACTGCTGCACTTCCATGCCTGTTTACCACTCTCATCTGAGTGTCATCCATCAACTCTATTGCGGCTACTTGAACCCCAGAACGGATCATCTTCGTCGCAGCGGAGGCAGCAGCACTGATAGTCGGGAACGAGATGACTGCAACGCTCGTTTCCTGAGGAATGACAGCTAGCTTGAGTGTGATTTCAGTAATGACACCAAGGGTGCCTTCAGCACCAACGAACATAGTAGTTAGGTTATAACCAGCGGAAGTCTTCCGGGGTCGTCGCCTCGTCTTAATGACTTCACCATCTGCGAGCACTGCTGTCACATTGATAACCCAGTCCTTCATGGTACCATAGCGAAACGCATTGGTCCCACTACAGTTAGTTGATATCATGCCACCAATTGTAGCGGTAGGGGAGGGGTCCAGAGGAAGGAAGAGGCCTTCTTTCTCAATCATGGTGTTAAGATCAACCCAGTTAACGCCAGGCTGTACGACAATGTCCATGTCGTCTGGATGAAAGGCTATGACCTTGTCCATATGGGTAAAGTCAAGAACGATGCCACTATATGGTGATGAGAAACTACCTTCTATAGAGGAGCCAGCTCCAAATGGGACTAAAATCAGGTAAAGGGTATGTAAGTAGATTATATAAGTCTCTCTCGTGTATTGAACGCTTACCAATGGGAACATTGTGCTGAGAACATATGCTTACTACTTTAGAGATGTCCTCAGTAGATCTCGGGTAAACAATTGCAACAGGTCGCCCACTAGAATTCGAAGAAGCCCAATCGGACCAACCATGCCTTTCTATGTCATCAATGTCAAAGCTGACGACGTCGTCACCAAGAACGGCCTCTATCTCCCGTGCTGCCTATATACGATAAGCTTCGAAGACATGCAGGCATCACGAATCTCGTTTGCTGACTGAAAGCATGCCCTTATGGTCGGCATATTTAACAGGATGCAATCTCTGTTGCTTTTCACCCGGGGTAAACAAGGTGACCTTGGACAAGATCAGTCCACTAACAAAGGCTGTTGTAGCTAAAACGGCAAGTAGTGCCGGCGAGGCCATTCGGTGTTTTAAAATCTGTGTTACGGGCTTGGGGTTGGTTGAGTACGGTGACTTGGGCGGCATAAAGACACGCTGCGGCCGTGATTTACCACGCGGGACGACCATTCTTCGCCATGCAGTGGCCGAGAGACGGAGGGGAGTCTGCATAGTGATGTTCATCTGCGTTGTTGACGCACTTGACACGGTGAGAGAGCAAGACAGTCCAGCAAGAGACTAGGTCTGAGGAAAGTTGCGCGTAGCAATGTGTACTTCCACTGTGATAGGTGAGGTGAGGTAAGATATCGATTCATTTAGAAGAACCTTTTTCAACTGTAACTTGGACGATAACAAAAAACTCAATACGAATGGATAGTGACTAAGAGATGAGATAGGTTTCCGATTTGGGTGTCTTAGCAAAGAATGTCCCGCCCCGAGGGAGGTAGATCGACATCCGCCTCTCATTTTGCTGTAATCCGTCGTTCCACATCCGCCATGTGGAGCCGTTGTCTCCCGTTTCCGGCTCCAGGGGTGGAAATGCCACCATAATCCATTCAACGGCCGTCTCCTAATCGGAAACCTCCATTGGTTCGATTGAAACCGGACATCAAGCACAATCGATTACACTCTATATTAGGAATTACTAGACCTACGCCGTGTTTGCATGTCAAATACTTTCTCGTAGACGGGCCTCAAGAGTGTCGCAAGTACTCCTCCACCAGGGTAATAAACGATCATTCTTAGAGGGTGAAGATACTTAGTGCTGAGAGTCGTAATATTCATCTAGCTCTCCAATATTCTGTTTATTACTATGAGTCCATCAACTTCTATAAAGGTAGTAATGCCTTGTTGAGGAGGTAGTGGTAACTTTGGCGAACTAACATTATTACCCTGGCAGAGGAGGAGTTTGCGATGATTTCGAAGTATCAACCTAATAACAAAAGTTCCTACACCAAGGATCAGAACAGAACCAATCCTTGGTATTTGCTTCTGATCAGTTCCTCCCAGTCTACGACTTCACCCTGGTTTGCCCTCTGCCAGATCTCGTCAAGAAGTCTATGAGCAATGCAAATATTGCCAAATCCAATCGTTGTCTCCATGACAGTGAGTCGATATTCTACAGTCAAGCGATTAGGTTTTGTCATACTGCCAACTCCAGCCATAAAAAGAGGAAATAGTAAATGTGCTTCCATCTCTGACCCTGGCCTGATAAGCGAGAGTGCTGATAGGATATTGTCCGTTGCTTTCTTTATTTGCACATCGTTGTTCTTCAGGGCTCTAGTGACCTGAAGCAATCGCATGATACTAGCCCACTGCAGAGCGAAGCCCATTGCTCTTGCCTCAGACATGGGTCTGGTCTGATCTATGTACTCTGGTGGAGTCCAACTTTGCAACTCGATCTCAATCTCTTGTGCCTCTTTGACAAAATGGTCGCTCGAGTAGTGATGGCGACAAGCAGCTAAGCTATTGATTCGTGCGACAGTCTCGTATAAACTCACACAGACCCCGAATAGCGGATGTATCATGAATATTTCTGGAGACATTAGGCTGCTATTTACTTGAAGATGATGTCCAATTCTTCCCGGTACCAGCTCGGAGGTGATGGACGTAACGCAGGAAAGATAATTATATGTTTCCAATAAGATGTTTCCGGGAGGATCGTCAAGCTGATCGTCAAGTTGAGTCAGAAGGGATCTTGCTCCATGTAGATGAAGCAGCCATTTTCGTGAAGTTCCGATGCAGATCTTTGATTATATAAGTCTTGAGCATTTCGTCAAAGGGGTGTTGAGTGCCTACCTCTGCTAAACAGAGCATGAGTGTTGTCGCGAGAGGCCAAATGGGATCCTCGCGGTTATCAAGCTCCGCTATCAATTCTTGCAACGCTTTACTACGATGGACGCAAAGATCATGTTCAAAATCGGGATAGACTTTTGAAAGGTGGCACGTTGAGAGTGCAAGGAGTGCGTGCCGAACCCCAACATTCTCAAGTGCCATGGGCACAATCATATGCAAGAACGGATTCAGCCTATCTTCAACCAATACGAGGGCTCGCGATACCGATTGTAAGAAGTGGTTGAGGTAATGTCTCTCTGCTATCGGCCAGTCTTTCAAAGAGTGAGGTGTAACGCCTGTTAAGTTGTTGAGTGCGGTAGACGGGAGGAAAGTTGCTAGACCCAGCTCATCGTCGATGGCACAAGGAAGCCCCAGCGATGTAAGAGCTGTGCTGTTGTCGAGTCTTGCTATTCGTGCCGTCTCGTGTTGGTTGTCCGATTCTATCAACGCCAGCCAGTCTGGGAAAGACGATAGTATGGACAGACTATGGTCTTCATGATTACCAGGAGCCGCCCACGTCTGAAACGCATATGATGTAAGAAACTCATCCGTGATACATGACAATGTTGTCTCCGGCTGGGTTGATTTATCATGAACATCGACTTGGACACATGTTAAGTGAAGGCGTTCACAGTCGGTGCATACAGGCCATTTCTCGTCGCATTTCTTGCGTCGCCGTCGACAGCTTAAGCATCCCGTCGTCGTCTTCTTGTGCTTGGCTTTCTTTCCTGCTTCCACAGATCTTGAGGAGGCAATCTGGTTCTGATCATTGCTTGTTCCATAACTGCAAAATAGCGACAATCGTTTGCACCGAGCACAGGGTGTGTCTTTGGTACATAGAGATTTGATTGATTTACAATTATGACAAGCTGTACTTTTGCGTCCCATTGGCTTTCACGATTCAGAGATAGTAAATGATGCCTAAATCGTTACACTGATAATTCCTAGTCACTTCAGAACCTAGAATTGATGTATCACGGGCCAGGGGATTCGAGTGGAGTCATCCGACTCCCGCCGGGGAGGTTTCGGCTACGGACCGTCTCCGACCCGCGGCCTTTTGCCACAAATCTCGCATCACAGTACCATTGTGGAGCTCGGAAGACCATTGACCGTCGTTCATTGCTGCCAGAAGCGAGGCTCCGCTGCGGTACCATGGTGCCCTGAGTGTGGATTTGCCCAAGTATGTTGAGCTGTCGTGTTTTTGGAAGATCGAGGTCTTTCATAGGTGCTGCCCGACATGTCAAAGAGCATAACGTCGAAATAACCCAATTTCCAGCAGACTCGGCCATATTCCATGGTGGCGAGGTCAAAACTCGGCAATGGCATCATTAGACAGTCCTGCAACATGGGTGGAATGGGGCAAGGTTGACGAGGAATTTGCCAAGGTACGCAACGAAGCTTGCATATAATGTTCTTGGACATCACTAATAGGTCAATTAGATGATAGCAAATAATGTACCTCGAAGACTCCCTCCAACGCAACTGGCTGATATCACTACTATCCGGCAAGCCTGGGTTGACACATGCACAAATGACATGAACGCAAAGCTAGAGAAGGCGCAAAACGATGTTCTAGTCGAGGAGATATTTCTTCCACTTCGGGATGGGACAAAATCTCGTACACTGGTCTTTAAGCCAAAGACAGCTCCCGTGGATGGCAGTCCATTGGTAGTTTTAATCCACGGTGGGGGTTTTCTCTTTGGTGCTGCAGAAATGGAGGCGTCTGCATGCATTGATCTCACTAGATCATATGGCTGCGTGTGTCTCAGTCTGAACTATAGGCTTGCTCCGGAATGCAAATTTCCAATAGCTTATAACGACTGTTGGGATTCACTTCAATGGGTGAGAGTTCTTGATCACAGGAAGGGTAGTTTGCTGACTGACGGGGGTCCAGATAGCTACAAATGTTTCCGTGTTGCAAGCAAACCCAGAGAAAGGGTTTATACTGGGTGGTACCTCTTCCGGAGGACAAATGACTACTGCACTATCTCACATTGCACGCGATGAAAGCCTTTCACCCCCTTTGACAGGAGTTTACCTCAACGCAACATCTATAGTTCAAGAGAACGCGGTTCCGGATAGATATAGAGAGTTATATCGTAGCGGGAAGCAAAACGATGGCAAAGCGGGACTGTCTCAGAAAACAAGGGCCATGTTTGTTGAGGCAGTAGCGCCAGATACCGATTCAGAATTGTGGAATTTACTAGATTGGCGAAATGGCCATCGAGATCTCCCACGGACCTACTTTCAGGTCTGTGGGGCTGATATCCAACGGGATGATGCGCTGGTATATGAGCGAGTTCTGAGGCTCGAAAATGGTATTGATACGAGGGTAGATGTCTATCCAGGACTTCCTCATGTCTTTTGGTATTTATACCCCGGCCACTCCGCTTGTGATAGATTCTATAGAGAAAGATTGGAGGGATTTGCATGGCTGCTCGGCAAATAGAGAAAGCGGTCATGGGCAACCTACCAGGTGCGCGAGAATTTCGACTTAGCAGAAGCTCGCAATAATGATAGGAAGCGTGGCCCAAGGAATTGCTTTGCTATTGTCCTACACCTTGGCTCCTCTTTGGTCTTATACCGAGACTGTGTGCAATACAGAACATACAAAACTCAGAAATGGAAATGTATCTTGTATTTAAATAGAGCAAAATAACCGGCACCAACACGTCCATACTAATGCGTCCGACGGCCGGGCTTACAATATAAAAGCGAGAATTGGTTGAATTATGTGGTGGATCGGAGACATGATGACAATCTTCTAAGTGAAAAATTAACCCTTAGAGCTCCTTCACCGGGGCCACACTCTCCAACTTGGTGGATGCTGGAGCATCATCCTCCTTATCAGTCATCTCCACCCCTTCCAACATCTCCTTTCCGTTGTTGCTTTCTTCGACATCAAGGTTGCCACTCTGGTTTAATTCCTCGAATTTGGCATCAATCTGTTCGAGAGTCAAGCCCTTCGTCTCAACCCAGAAGATTGCTACAAATATGAATTGTACTACATTCCATGCAGCATTGATCATGTAGGTTCTCCATCCAATATGCTCGAGCGCTATTGGCCATACAAAGACGCTGAATAAACTAGTGAATTCGTTAGACCGTATCTAAGCCAAAATGTTAGAAAGATAGCTTACCCGCCGCAAGTAATGGAAAATGTCCACGCCGCCATTCCGTTGCTTCGGATAGAAAAGTTGAGGACCTCTGGCGGATATAGAATCGTAAGAGGAGTAATTCCAATCGAGTAGCTTCCCTGGAAAAGGAAAATTGTAGCCACTGTTCCATACACGCCAGATATATTGCCTCCTCCTCCGTATACTGCAGTAGGTCAGTATCATTCAGGAGTCAAGTACTTGTCAAGAACTTACATTTTGTAAATGCACCAACAAGAAATAGGAACAGAGTCATTCCCCCAACTGATACAAGGCACATCATCTTACGTCCGGCAACATTCATTAGAACTGTTCCAACACAGGCAACAGTAAGAGCCCATGCGTTAAGAATGATGTTCTTAAGTACACATGTTAGATTCAGAGGCTGTATGAGACTCCAGGGATGTCTTACAATTTCGAGCTGGGTATGCGTGTTGGTAATTCCAGCATGCTTGAGCATGTCGCCCAAGTAATATGAGACAATATTATTTCCTAAACCATTAGTCAGACGTGGAACCAAATCGCTACAGTACACCTACCGCTAGACATCGCGAGCACAGCAACTGATACGACAAGCATCAGGCGTCTTCGGGAGTTCGGTGTCCGCAGCACCTCTTTGTATGTCAACTTCTTTCCAGCGCGACGCTCCGCCTCGAGCGTGTTGACAATTTCCTGAAATTGCTCCAGCGCAACGGGATCTGTTCGATCTCCGTCGCTATGGGTCGATGCCAATGCGATCAATGCATCATCCAGTCTGTCCCTGTGTGCCAGCCACCGGGGAGATTCCGGCACAAAGAATAATACAAAGAAGCACAAGAAACTGAAGAGGGCCTGCAAGAGACATGGTAGGCGCCATGACCATTCCCCAGCGATCTCAGCCGTTCTATATGTGACACCCGCAGCGATTAGAGCACCTGTCCAACTTAGCAACCAAAAGAAAACCCGACCATGAACGTCTCATGAGACTTACCAACGAAGTAAATTGTGAAAATGAAACTTAGACCCGAAGCGCGATACTTCGATGGCAACGTCTCTGCCAACCAACTGTTGAAGATTAGCCTTGTGCGTCGAAAAGGGACACTACACTTACGTCGATGCGGCTATTGACGACGTGCCTGATCCAGCACCCAAAACCATTCTCCCAATGACAAACATTTCAACATTCTGGGCCGCCGTCATCAATGTAACACCGATCAGCTTCAGAAACACAGAGATCAAGACACCAGTCCTGCGTCCGACACGGTCCACCACTGGACCCATGAATGTCGACACGATAGCCCAGCCAAGGAATGATGCTGCGGCATTGAGCGACTTAGTGACTGTGGTAAGCTTCAAGGTTTCGGTATAAGAGGGAATGATGTTGATGCCGTTTCTAATGAAGTTAGTCACGAGTAAGAAGATACCAGGGTATAAATACGTACATCAACGCTGTATCGTATCCAGTTGTCTATCCAGATATTAATTTCTAAAGCAAGGGTAATCGAAACCGGCTTCATTAGTTGCTTACCGTCGCAAAGATACATGAAGAGAGGGTAGTCAAAGCTATTGTGAGCTTGCTCGACTTATAAAGTTGCAGAGGGCCCAAAGGGCCGTCGAAGAAACCCATGGTTGATTGGCTTATGGATATGATAGAATCGATGGAGGTGCTTCAGTAATGCATATCGAATGCATTCACGTTGTGGTGAGGGCCCGTCTTTTAAATCTTTGGATCGAGCAACATGATATCCTCCGTGGTGATTAGAATAGGAAAGGAGAGATGGACCCACTAAACTACTGCCATATCCCGGCGTTCCCAGGTTCGACGGCATATGCTCAATCGAGATAACACAGGCGCCAAACCCAGACAAATCTGCGGAAGAACGGAAGAGAGCTATCCACTAATGGAGAGCCTCGTCGACTCAACTTGATAAGGTTCAAAGTAGTTGAGATATTGCTGCACGGCAAATGTTGTCCGGAATTGATAGGGTTCAAGTTATGCTCTCAAAAGGGCCACTCCACACTTGATCCGTCCCGCCGGCTTACCCCGGTTCGCGGGGTATTGGCGGCCAGTGGAGAGACATAGGGGGAGTAGCGAGCAGACCCTTTGGAATTTACTAGACTACTCAGCTCGAAGCCTTGCCATAGGAAGTTTAAGCATTGCAGAAATCAGGGGTTTCACAGATTTACGTCCGTCGAGACACCGAGTGCGATTTCCGGCACTCCTCGGCAAGATGTCTCGTTGATGGTTTTTCGTTAGAATAGAAAGATATAATGGCAGATTCAGGAGATGCAATTTTTCGCTGCTAATAATTTGTATTGCAAAGGAGGTAAGTTGCTGTATTCATGCTAGGCCGTATATGTGTGTTTCCCAAACCACATTCCCAATGTCGATGACAACACCTAGTACGGCCTGGCGCCAGCGAGTTTAAGTAACTTGTCGCTCATATCTGGCATTTCTAGTGGTTGGTCCCGA